ATGTCAATGTATGTCAATGTATGTATACACATACATACACGCACAATACGTATGCACTGCGGGCCGCATCTGAGGTATATTCACAAATGGCGGAGAATTTGGACCAGTGGAAGAAGATTTGGGTGGAAGAAACGTCACCAAGTGATGAGGCACGGATTGGTATTTGACTTAGCAGGACCTGTGGAACAAATGTCCGGCCAGGACATCGCGAAGAAAGAAGCCGACGTGGCAAAGATCAAGGATCACCTGCTTGCTCTTGTGGCGGGATGTGGCGGGACTAGCATTCGTCGCTGCTTTCTCGTCGTTGATGCTTTTCCCTCCTTTAGATGTTTTCAAGCCTCCAGATTTCCTGTACGCTTCGAGGAATTTGGTACAGGACTGTATCTATTTTATTCTATTGTGGTTTGACCCAGCATGATTGTGGCCAACAGGTGTTGAGGAGGAGTGCAGCAACCTGTGGCGCTCACACCCGAGCCTCCAAGTATGCAGTGCTAGCGGATGCAGTTCCGAGCTTGTCATCTGTCCCTGGTGAAAGTCCAACCAAAAACAGCGAGCACACGTCGTTTTCGAGATTTTCCCGGGTTACAGACCGTGGATTCAAGATTCACCGGAGAGTTTCCATGGAAGGGCTTCGCACAAGCATGCACTGTTGCATGCGTTCATAATTTAGAAAGAGAGGCGTATTTACGTGGTCTGCTGGTTCAGACGTGCATATGGACACACGCACACAGACACGTAACAAACGAGCAAAAAATGGCAAGCGATCGAACATACATACACATACATGCATGCACACGTCCACACATGCACACACATGCAGACGCACATGTGTGCATTCGTAAGTACATACAGCACCCACGCACATACTTACATACATGTGTACGCATACGTCCATACAGAAGAACATGTAAGAACACAAATGGACACACGACACACGCACGCACGCGTGTATGCATCTGTTAGCGGCATAGGGCAGCAGTGAGCAATCGGGCTCCCAAACATGCTCCGTTGGATGGAGAGTTGGCAAAACGTGTGTGATTGCTCGCGTGCTGATCTTTCTGCTCCTGCCAGGATCAGGCCATAGAGCTTGAAACTCGAGTTCTTTGAGGTTCACAGCTTGAGTGTCGGTTTGATTGGCTTTCAAGCTTGAGGATGGAGGCAATAGTTGTTGTTTGATGCTGGGAGGTCGCTAACGCAGTGAGGAAATGACGGGCGTCGCCTCGAAGAGGCTGGAGGGTGCATTCTGAGTCCTTGTCTGCATTCGCAATCTTGGATTGGGAGCGGCTGTGAGCATCTCATGATGCTTGTCAGGGCTCCCGTCTACCACAGTCACAAGGACACAGCGTGTTGCCGCGCTGAGCCTCCCTGGCTCGCGCTCTTCACTCTGCCGAAGCCAGAAACCTCACAAAGTGAAGGTTGCTACCTGGCGATGCAAAAAATACGACATGGCATGAACCGAGCACTCGAGAACTCTCTCGGCAGCTACATTCCTTTCACAGGGGGAGGCCGTATGTGAGAAGCACGATAGGCCAGCAAAGTGCCGTTTCAGAAGCTCCTCGAGACAAGTGAAAACTAATGCACGAGCCATGTTGCTGTGCTCAAACTTGTTCACACCCGGCCCTGAAGGGGCCAAGCTCTGAGAATTATTGCCATGGAAGTTGAAAAGCTTGTTGATCCGCCCAGTTCCGCTGGAATGAGCTGAAGGTTTGATCCAACCAGTGACTCACTGAATGTTTTGATCGCTGCCAAAGGGAAAGGTAGGTAGGCAGAGCGTGACTGCCCAGAGCAAGAAGGCATCGCTTGTGCATTTCACGGCGCCACGGCGCACTTACTGCTGCGCCGTTGTGGCAAAAAAAGCCTTGTGAGGTGTGCCGGCCTGATTCTGGCATCTAGCCGGATACACAGCGGATGAACACATAGCAAGGCCTGCCACACCCCAATGCATGCTTGGACTCGGATGCCTCGCATACGAACGCTGGCAGGTACGCTGCTGGCCCTGTGATGCAAGGCACCCAAGGCATGGAAAGCATGGGAGACGGCAGCATGGGAAACCCAACCAATGGAGCGAACGGAATGGCTGGTGGCACTGGTGGGTGTGGCTGTGGCGGCTGCGGTGGATGCGGCTGTGGCTGCGGTGGATGTGGCTGTGGCTGCGGAGGTTGTTGCGGGTTTCCATGCGGAGGAATGATGGCGATGCCGATGATGGGCATGCCAATGATGCCCATGATGAACCCTATGATGGGACTCATGGCCGGCATGGCCAGCATGGCCAACATGGCTAAAGCTGCCAAGGCAGTGGAGGTTTTCTCTAGTCTTGCAGTAGTAGCCTGTCCTTCGTTAACATGCTTCGAGGCAAAGAAGAAGGCCCCCGAGCCTGAGGAAAAGAAAGAGGAGGAGAAGGAAGCCGCACCAGCCGTGGAAGCTTTCAACCCAGAGGAGCCGAGCCGGAAGTGGAGTGAGGCTGTTTAAACACGTGTTCTGGAGCGAGCGGCTGAAAGCAAGGAGCTGCAAAAGCGCCTGCTCATGGCCCAGTCACAGCGCTTTGCCGAGGCAGGTCGGAATTTTGGCGAGTGAAGGACTGGGCCCCGGGCCTCTTGGGCCCAGTTCGAGCCCTGACCCCGCACACGCAGGTGGCGAAGCAGGACCAGGATGACCAGGACCATGAGGAGAAGAGCCAGGGTGCAACTCGGCTGCCCGGGCGCTTTTTCTGTCTCTTGCGCCATCTTGCACCTCTCTTCATGTCCAGGATGGTGAGCATTCAGACAGCGGCAGTGAGAAGAGTGAAAAGAGCGAAGCCGAAGGAGGAAAAGAGGCCACTGCTGTATGTGTATCAGAGGTTGTTGTGCATTTTGCCAGCCCGCTGGCTGGAAGGAGAAGGATGAGAAGGATGCCAAGAAGTCGGAGGACGAGCCGATGAGCGAGGACGAAGCTCCGCCACCTCCACCAGAGCCTCCTCAACCGCCTCCGCAACAACCGGACAAAGCTCCCCAACCCATCGAACCCCAAGACCCCACACCAGCCCAAGCGCTGAAGGGCCCAGCCCCAGCCCCAGCACCCCCTCAACCCCCGCAGGAACCCCCTAAGCAGGCCAACGCGGGTAAGGCTCCTTCGGCCCAGCCACAAAAGGCTGCTTCGGCTCCTTTGACTTGGCCTGGGCCTCCTCCAAACACAGACAGAATGGACCCGCGAATGCAGGAAACCCTGCAAAAGCTCCAAGCTCTCCAAGGAGGAGCACTTGGACAGGAGCAGAAAGCCAGGCGTATGAAGGCTGCGACTGCCGCCGCCGAAGAGATCAAAATGTCTCTGGAGATGAAGAGCTCCGAGCCTGGCTCCGAGAGAGACTCGAAAGACTCGTCGAAAGACTCGTCGAAAGACTCGAAAGTTGACTCCAAAGACTCGAAGGAGAAAGACAACGACGGTTCGGAGAAAGGTTCCGACACAGCCATGGGTGTCGTTATCCATTGGAGCGGCGTCAGAGGTTTTGGAATTCTGCGTTCGCAGACTCATGGTGAGGTCACTGTCAATGCCAAGGCTCTCATGAACACTGGCGAGCTGGCCGTCGGGGACGTTGTCACCTTCGAGCTGGGCTTTGACAAAAAGAAGAACAAACCGGAGGCCAACAGTGTCTACAAGTCCGGTGCAGGTGGTCAGAAGTCCAGTGGTGACCGCGGTGACATGGCGAGGACATCCGCCAGCAGTTCAGCGCCTGGCACTGCCAGCAACGGCCAGTCCACGGCAGATGCCAAAGCTGAGAAGGCAAGGGATGCCAAGGAGAGCAAGGAGACTAAGGAGAAGGAGAGGAAGGAGAGCAAGAAGGAGAAGAGTCAGAAGAGGAAGTCGCGCTCACGACGGAAGTCTTCTTCTTCCTCCTCCTCCTCCTCGTCTTCCTCCCGCAAGCGGAGGAGAAAGTCTCGCTCCCGATCCCGCTCACGTCGCCGTCGGCGGTGACAACGTGAGTTCCTTTTCTCTATTGGCCCTGCATGGCCCATGGCATGCCTCTGTGAAATAACACTAGTCACTAGCCTCTACTGGCAGCTCTGAGCGCACGTGCCGAGTCTGAGGCTGCAGCCGCACGTGCTGTTGACATTCTGAGACGGTGAGACGAGAAGTTAGCGCAAGTGTACTTAATCGGCAAACGCCACCCGTGAAAAAGCTCAGCATGCATCCTGATGCCCGTGTGCTTCAATGTGTTTGGAGTTGCCGGGCAAGGCTTGAATCCAATGGCATGACATGACACGCTGTCCCGGCGCTCGCGAAGCCAGGAAGACCAAGCGGTCCACTTTCTAGGATTCCTTGTCGCAAGTGTTGCAGGCACCCTTTCTTTCAAGGTAAGCGTGCCCTTGGATCAGACCCGGCGTAGACAGACATGGAGGCGGACCGCCATGGATTCACATCGTATGCCGGCAGCCGATGAAAGACTTCGCATTGTGGTGCCTGGGCAGATGGGATCCAGGTCGGCAGGCTTTACCCGATGAGGGCTGTAGCTGGTACTGTTGCAGGCCTGGGGAAGTAAGCCGACTTTTTTGCACAGCCGTGTTTCCGCTGCGTGTTCGGCGGCTCATCGCTTTTTTCCCATCCGAGGCATGACTCCGGCTGGCGAGGCAAGGTTCACAGAGGGGAGCCGCGTGATTCTGCACGGCTTGCGCGCCAATGAGATCTTCAACAACAGAAGGCGGAAGAATCGGAGACCACGGCCAGGATGTTGAGTTGATCTGGAGCCACCTGTTGTGCAGGGGCAAAGTTCTGAAGAAGCTCGCCCTACAAAACTCGCATGGACCCATTGCGGCTTATGAAATCTGCCTGACAGATGGTCAGCTTGTGAAGGCTCGTCCGTGTGGTGCCACGGGGGCTTGTGTAGATTGTCGGTGTGCGAGGCCTTGGATGCGAATCTTGATTTGGCCCCGCCGTTGGCCGACGCAGAGGCCGAGGAGGAGCGAGACCCTGAGCCCTGGGCACAGGCATGTTCGTGGCCTTCCCCTTATGATTCTGTTGACTATTCGAGCCAGGTGTATGGCGTAATGCATGCAATCCTCTTCTCCGAAGTACGATTCTAAGCCTGCAGGATGACCACCCTCCGAATCTCTAGGATTAAGATTGGTGCATTGATTCATTCAAGAAGAGTTGGCTGTTTGTCATGCTCCACCTGGCCTCGAACGTGTCTACGCGTTATGAGGCTTCGACTGAAAGCAACTGCCACAGGAACTCATGCATTGCACTAGCGTCCTTGTAAGATACACCTGCTTGACTCTACCCCGGATCCATGCAGGAGTCTTGGAGCGATGAGGGGAGCGACCACGTCGAAAATTTCGAGAACCTGGTGCACCAATGGCCTATGGATTGCATGGGGCCGCGGGATTCTTATGCTTTTCTTATCAGGAGCGGGCGAAGTTGATGGACGAGCTTTTCCAACTGCTTGACCAGTCGCAAGAGGGAAGTCTTAGGCGACAGCGACGACTCGCAGGGGTCGTTGTGGGGACTGCCTCCTTGGCAGGTCTCACGCTCTCCATCACCTGGCGGTGGCATGTGGCTTCGAGGGAGGAGCTCTTAAGTGGGAGCCTGGGAGCCCTTGAGAGTCGTGAGCCGTGAGCGGTGAGCCCGGAGTGCTTGCAGGTGGGAAGAAGAGTACCAGGCAGCACTGCACTGCCACGCGCTGACGCGTTGGGAGGGCACGGATGTGGAGGCCTTGTGCAAGCTGTTTCGCACCTCGCCGGCGGCTGGCTTCCAGCAGATGGAATTCGCCAAGCTCCTCTCCAACGAGGACAGAGTGCGACCAGCGCGAGCGACTCCTCAGAACTTGCCCTTGCCTTGGCCGAGGCTCTTCCCACGTATTGTCCAACAGACGAACTAGCCGGCCTTGTCTCAAGCACTCGCCAGCACATCCTTTCTCGTCGTCAAGAGCAAACCACGTTCTTGACTCGGCACGTCCTTTGATCCCTGCACAACCATGCCGCATGGCGCGCAGTGGTGCTCGTCACGGTCCCAGGCCAAAAGAAGATGAGAAGCGGCTGAAGGACATGGCCGGTGACGTTAGTTGAACTCGGAACCTGAGCTAGGACCTAGGAGGTTGAGAAGCTTGGCACCCTGGCAGGCGGAGCAGTACCGAAAGGACGCTGTCAAGTTCATCTTTAAGAGCCTGGACATGGATGGCGATGGATTTCTGAACGGCTCGGAGATGCAACGCTTTGCAGAGCTCTGTGGCTTTGATGACGAGTGGGAAGTGGAGTACGAGGTGCCGGTTTCTTCTCAACGTCCCCATGTTTTCTCATTGTTGTACTTGCCCGGAGCCTCTCTCTATCCCCCTTGCTCACCGAAAAGTCGTGAAGGCCCGTAGGGATCGAGCCTGATACGCGAGTTACCGTACACAGGCTTGCGGCAGTGCTTGCGGTATTGCCAGGTGATGTGCGAACACATGGGCATTGACAGGGAGCATGGCGCAAGTTTGGCTGACTTCCATCGATTGGCAACCTGGCAGTAGATACTTGTTGGCCTCAGTAGACAAGCACGCGAGCATTGCATTCGTCAGGCATTCATTCATTCTAGACTGGCTTTGCGAAGCCTCGTCTCGTACTGAAATAGAAGCCTTTTAGAGGTTGCTTGCACCACTACTAGGTTCAGGTCAGCGCCTTCATGTAGGGCTCGCACGGGTCGTTGGACAGGCCAGGCTGAGGTTCGTCAGGGCATGGGTTGAAAGCACACCGGAGAAGACCCACTCATTACCAGTCATGAATTTTCAGTGTTAGCACAGTGTGCTTCTGCTTGAACTTGGGTCAGCGAACGAAAGAGCCATGCCTTCTGCACCCGCAAGGAGAGCGGCCGGACTCGTGCCGGTTAAGCCCAAGCGCTGTAAGCCCAAGAACCGCAGCACAATCCCCAGAGTTCTGAGCGCGCCTCATAAATCGACAAAATCCGCACCATATTGCAGCAAAACCCAGAACACGCCACTGCGGCAGAACACGAGCCCCATCTATCCCACGATTGCTGGGGGCGAAGACGCGAGTCGCATCCTAAATCTGTGCTGGGACTACAACATTCGAGAGCAGGAAGGCAGGTCGCACCTGCAAATTGCTAGCTGTTGTTGGAGCCAAATGCTACTACCAAAGCGACTTCGGGGGATTTGAAGACCAAAACGGATGCGGGACTGGCGGGAGCAGGATTCCACCAAGGAATACGTCTGTGGGGAGCGCGATTCAGCAAGGACTGCCGCCCAGTAGCCAGATCTTGGTACACTTACACGTGAGAACCCCATGGCCCCATGGTGTTATCAACCCTTTCGGGGAACAGAAGCGATGCGGCGAGACGGAGACTGAACAGGCCAGCTACAGGAGCACCCACACCAGTCACGCCAGACGTGCTTTTACAGGAGTTGCGGAACATCGCCAGTCAGATACGAGATCGGTTTCTCGGGCTGCACTTTATGAGCTCAGGCGAATTTGTCGTCGTGCTTTCCAGAAGCTGAGGCGCGAGTCGATCTCCCGCAAGCAAGCCGCCATCCGAATCCAGGCATGCACACGGGGCAGTCTCACACGGAACCGGCTGCAACGACAGCAAACCGTCGCACCAGCCGTGCTAGCCTGAGGGGCCCCTGCATGCAATGGCAATCAATGCATGCGGATGGAAGTAGGAGTCCGACCTGACTGAGGTGAGTCCTGCTCCATCTGTGGTTCTTCTTGAAGAGAAGGGCCGCGGAGTGATTGACGTGCCCGAGCCTCCACCTGCTCCTCCCGAAAGCTTGACGCTCAGTTTGCTGTACTGAGCGTTCTGCAGACACTCGTGTTGTCATTGCGCCGAGGCGAATCGGAGGACCTCCGTCCTGCTGATCTCATGGTTCTAAGTCTTTAAGGTTGGATGAACCAGGTTGTTGCAAGTCGCAAGGGGTTTGTGGGCACTTGCGACGGTTGGCATTTGTCCCGCATCAGCTGGCTATGAGGACAGCTCGAAGGAGTGATCCACTCCTCGTCGATGAACAAGAGTTCGGTAGCGAATCTCTAGCGCTAACGGCACCGCTCGGCTGCAACCAGCAAAGCTGACCAAGCGGCGTGAGAAGTGAGGCAGTGGCTTCTAGCTTTTTCGCACCAACACATGGAGCTCTGGCCAAAGTGTTGCTGCCGATGTGATTGCTCGGCCTGCAGCCAGAGTGATTGTGGGAAGAAAAAGCCTGCGGCTGCCTTCTGGCGTCTCTATGCCACTTTGCGCCCTCCTGCGCTGCACCTGTTACCTGCTCGTCTCGGCCGGCTCAAAAAGATAGCCCAGCCACGGCGCGGTGACAACCCCAGGTTTATGCCAGACTAGTGTCAGCTTGTAGCCCACTGCGATAGCAAGGTGGCCAGTTTAAACATGGCCTCGAGCCGGCGCCATGCCCGTGCTGAATGGAGAAAAAAAGAGCTCAGGCTCCGAGAACGCGGACTCCCAGCCCCCCAAAGACGAATTGGGCTGCAGCGCTGGAGACTTTGCCTGTGGGGCACCCAGCTCTCTGAGCAGTGCGAAGCCGGAAACACATATGACAGAAGATGTGTTGAGGAGTGGCTCGTGTAAGTTTTCACGCTTTGATGGCAGAGGTTCCAGAGAAAAAACAGGTCTCTCTTAATTGAAAGTAGGCTGCCTGGAAAGCCTGCAAGCCATCACGAAAGAACATCTACTTGCTCTGCCTCCTTGCTTTTGTGACTCTCCAGTTTTCCCTGCAGTGCGACTCAATCGGCGAGATGGGTGGTCAAAAAAGTCTGCAGGGTCAAGGCGAGGCACGCATGCCAATGCAGATGCTAGCTAGCACTTCAAAAAAATTCAAGGCTTGACAATCGCGTGTGTGCGTGTTGTGGAGCTTTCAGTTGCTCCTTGTCACCTGCCCTCATCGGAAGCTTCTCTGCGTCGTAGGGCTCCACAAGGCCTTTCCACAAGCTAGTCATGGGATGGACAGGATTAGCAGGAGATACAGAGTGGCAAAGTGCAGCGCTTGGCTATGTGATCGCCCAAAGCACCAAAGCTGCCTCCCAGGCACTGCCGCCGAAGTGGGACTGGGCACGTCTCTCAGGGTGGACGAAGGTCCCCTCGAAACAGGACCCAACCGGTCAGAGTGTGTGCACATGTAGACTCCTCCTCAGCAAGGTCGCAGCAGTTCGGAAGAGGCCAATACTGTACCATGCATCCGAACCAAGCTGCTCATTGTAAGCTCTGTGGGGCTGCTTTTGTCAGGTCAGAAGGTTTGGCAGATGCCATTGATGCATTGAATTCGGGGAGGCACCGGCTGTTGTCCTTGCTGAGCAGGAAGATTCTGGCTCGCGGCCTCGGGCTCAGGTGCCGGCCCTTGCGGCTGGGGACGCCTTGTGCAGGCTTCGAGGCCAACTTACGATGAGGCTGATGAGGGAGGATTGGAGCAGGATGCGTGCATTCGACGGAGGCACCCTATTTTGCTCTCCGAGAGCTCGGCGTGCAGCATTTTGAGCATGTCTTTTCGATCGATGCACGCGCCTTGGCATCTCCAGCAGGCTAGGGCCACGGAGTGGTTTGCGACGTTCCTTGTTCTGACTCGAACAGTTGTGCTGCGTGAGTGTTCTGCCGTGCTAGGGTTGCCTTGTATAAGCAGCGCTTGAGCAGAAAATGTGCGAAGCCGAAGCTCCTGGTTCCGGTTCCTTGGGGACTCCAGGTCGGCTCACATGCTGCGAAGTTCTGCAAGAATTTGAATCATGTCATGGGCTCAGGCTTGTTGTCGTTCTTTGCTAAAACGTTTCGTTGTTTTCCCGGTGCCAGCAGACTCTTTACTCCTAGAACTAGAGGCCAAGAAGACTTGGCTTGGCCAGCAGGAGGCCATGCACTGGCTCTGTACCTGCATTTGCGTCTATGTTTCCTCACAAGCTGAAAGGGCGACCTCATGACCCTGGACTTCACCCAAGTGCCTTCCGTGGACATTCTAGTCGCAGGCTTTCTACCGGAAGGAGAGATCATGAGCAGTTGCTGACATTTACAAGGACCTCCTTGTCAACCCTTCTCTGCGATGGGGCGGCGTGATGGCATTCGCGATCCTCGAGCGGGAGTGTTTTGGTGCTTCCGCCGTTGCTTGACTCTCTCACAAGCCGCCGAAACCCGGAGAGTTTGCGGCTGCCAGGCGAACCATTGACCTCATTGCAGAGCTGGCACGCCGACCAGGAGAGGAAGCTCTCAGGCCTGCTGCACTTTCGAAAAAACGGTGGTTGGCGCGGATAAATGGAGAATCCCAAACTGCACAAGTGGTAAAACGTAACGATTTTGTGCGAAAAACCAGAAAACCCGAAACGTCGACAAGTCTTGAAAAGTAAGCCATTGCAGCGAAAAGTCGAAAAGTGCAGAGAAAAGCGAAAAGTCGAAAAGCCGCGAAAAGTCGAAAAGTACAGCAAAACGCGAAAAGTTGAAAAGTCGAAACATCGAACACACCACACATCTGAAGCATCCTGGCACTGCTTTTGAGCAAAGGCAGATCCAGGATAGTGTCAACGATGTCGGGTACTCGGGGAAGTGTTCTGGCCTTGGGGCCTATTTCGTGTGAAACCTCGTCAAATCAAAGCACCGGAAAGGATGTAGGGTTTCACTAAGTGCGTGAGGTGTCCATGGCACACGGAACTCGATGCGGAAGGTTAAGTCAAAAACACGTAAACATCTGCATATGCTCTGTGTGTGCGTGTGTAAACGGAAACAGAAGTATGGTTACACACGTACATGCAAAAGTAAAAGCATGTATCTGAGTGTGTGTATATATATATATATGTATATGTCTCTGTGTGTATACATAGGTAGAGGTTATGTATATATAGAGAGACGTATAATTACACATATGTATATACACATGTACACCGCTGGGACAATGTCTGGTGGCGCATTAGGCTTTGGCTTTGGAGGTGTTCGACCTTGGGGATGCAAGTTCCGTGCAGCATGGTTTTCTGAAGCGCGAAGAGACGAACACTGAACTTGGAAAACAGTTCTTATGAATCCCTATGCCCTATGCTGTTTTGCTGTTTCGGGCGGTGAAAGACCCCAGGTCGGCTGACCCGCTTAAAATCGCAACCACAACCCTAAAAACGCCGGTAGAAATATTTAAACACTTCAATTACAACCAGGGTTAAACCCGAGTAGAACCAAAAGAAAAATCAAATGAACTAAATGTTCGGCCTTCGTCAAACATGCCAGCCCTGAGCGAGTATGTGAGTCGAAATGTTCGAATCCTCGCGGAAACCACCAATTTTGGGGCCTTAGCGATGTGAAAAACGCTTCGGGGCACGATGGTGCGAGGAGCTTTGAGGAATACCATTACGAAGCGCTCCGCCCATCGTTGAAGCCTTTTGAAGAGCTACAAAAACTAACTGGAAACCGCACAGCTTTAGGAAAACATGACAAACCTGTGTCTTTCCGTGCTTAGTTAAAGATGCGAACAAACCTGGAAAGCTTTTTTCAAACCCCAAGCTCGTTTCAACACCTAGCTAGAAAGCCTATAACGCCTGAAAACTCGCCAAATGCTATATAGTCTAAGAACCCTGAGAGGGGCCCTTCAGGGATCTGCAAAGCAAGCCCCAGAAGGTCTTAAACAACTCAATACCCCAGGCCCCAAAACCCTGAACGAACGTTCCGAAAAGTCGAAAAACACGAAGCGTCCAAACAGTGCAAAAAAAACAGACAAGTCGAAAAGCCCGAAAGGTCCGAACAAGTGCGAGAAAGCTTGACAAGCCCGACAAATCCGAAAAGTGCAAGAAAACCCGAAAAGTCGAATAGCCGAAAAAAACCAAAAAGTCCGAAACGTGCAAGAAAAACCGAAAAACCGAAAAGCCCAAAACGTCCGAAAAGTGCACGAAAAGTCGAAGAGTCGAAAGCGTTTCGACTTTTTGACTTTTCGACTTTCGAATTCCGCTGCGGTCCTCCGCTTATGGAAAGCAACACCTGCTTGCGAACTTAGTCTCAGGCCTGGGGCCGGGGCTGTGTTTTGCTACGACTCTTCGAGTTAGCCTGCAAGGATGACATGTGGGTAGTTCTCTAAATTAGGATCCTGTTTTGGGTCCCCAAAACAGTGCGGCACCCTTATAAAAAGGACCCTGAAAGGAACCCTAATTTAGAGAACTGCTCATGTCGTGATCATTAAGCTAGCAGGCAGCTGCCATGACTTTTCGAATCGAAGGACATGTCGATTCCATGTTCTACGTGCAATGAAAGGTTTTCCGGCTTGCAGCCTTGCCATACGGAAGTGCGTTCACAATTTGTTTTACAGCCGTGGAAGGTTTTGAGGGCAGCTACACGGCGAGAAAAGACGGCGGCATCCGGAGGGCTGGCCATCGATACCGAGGTTCTGCATGCTCCTGTGTCCGAGTCATCGGACAGCCAAGATGGAGTGGAACACGCCACCGTGAGAGTCCAAAAAACACGCCGAGCTCGCGAAGAGGAGGAGTCTTCGCAGTAGAGAGTCGGGAAGCAGGCAGTTCTCACCCACACATCGCCCCACCTTCCCCTCAGCATCAGCTCTCTCATCCTCACCGTGAACCCTTGCCTCCCCGACTTCAAACTCGCCTCCAACCTTGCCCTGAAAGCTGACTCTGACACGCGTTTGCCGCAATGCCGACGAACTGCTTGTACACTCGATACGCCAGTCTTGACAAACAAAATGGAAATTCTGGAGAGCTATGGCGGCGTTCTATCACCATCCTCTTCTGCCTGTCTCGCCCACTAGGGGTCTCGCGATTGTGACACATTGTCCCGAAGCGCTGTGTGATACATGATCCGCCAGGTGTTTCATCCTCGAGAACGTAGACGGCGTGAAGACGCCAGACGTTCACGGCTGCCGAGGAATCGACGAGATCACCAGGCTGGAATGCTGCTTGCCGCCGCATGCTCTGATTTGTCCACGGCTTTGTGCGGTTAAACGGTTAATGCTGGGGTGAATGCAGGCGTCTGCGCGTGGCGGCACCTGCCTTCACAGTGAGGCTGCCTTGCGGCATCATGTCAGCTTGTTGGCTCCTACTGGTTCCAGTGACTCTAGTGTTTGTAGTGCCTCCTGCAGGGTCTACGACATGAACTCGAAGGACGTAGATTGCAACTGCTTTCGGTTGACTTGGATTGGACCCGAGCGGAAATCTGCGTGCTGCTTGAGGATTATTCCCTCCCGCAAAACCGGCAGAGAGTCTACTTCGTCGGAGTCCACAAGTCCATGCAAATGCCGGCCACCGCAGCTGTTGTGCCGACAGACGTCGCGCAGTCTTTCCCCATGCTATATCCCGACTGCCACCACAACTCCAGATCTGCTTAGCAAGGCGCAAGCGAACTTTCTGCACCCCGCCGGTGACACAGCCATGCTCGCTAGATGTGCAAAGATCATTTCTCAGAGGTGTCATGGATGGTGCCAGACTCTTGCTGCGCAGGTGTAGTGTTCAAAAGTCACCAGTCCATTGTGCCACGTCACCTCGTGGGGAGGCTGAGTGGAGGCATGGCGGTGCGCAGGCAGAGGAGACATGAGAGATGGCAGCGATGTGAGACGCCACAAGCGCGGCGATGGATTTGGCTTGGCCTCCCATGCAGTGGCCCTTCCGCCGTCAAAGTGGCGGACAGCTCTTGAGACACTCTCGCGAACTCAGAATAACGGACTTCGCCCCAACCGTTTCCTTGCGAGTGCATGCGCACAACACAATTTCTGGTCTCGCAGCCTGCAGCTTCTGTCCTGGTTGCAGGCGGCTCATGGGCGACCGGATGCACATTTTTGTGCGACCATCGAAGCGTCTTGTGCTCGGTCGTCCAAATGGGCAGCAAGCATTCACATTGTCGAGAAGCTTGGCCATCTAGCACTGCGTCCAACAGTGGCTGCCTTGAATGCTGCGGCACAAGCCGCCTGCAAGACCACGGGCCATTGGCAAGGAGCTTTGGAGCGGTTCGGGCAAGCCACGAACATGGATGCATCTGGACTCCAGCTCGATGCCATTAGCCTCGTCATAAAGATCACCGCCTTCACCAGTGCCATGAAATGGCCCTCATCTCTGCAGTCCCTTATGGCCTCGTCGGAGGGCCGAATCATGCATCCTCAGGCGAGCATTGCGAGGAACGCCGCATGTAATTGCTGTGTTCAGTCGTCAGCATGGACATTTCCGCTGCAAGTGTTGAATGGCTCCGTCTTATCTGTGGACCCAATCGGAAGCAATACGATCCTCCGAGCACGAGGAAAGTCCATGGACTGGCAAGCAGCCAGCGCCGTCTTCCGGGGGATGCAGTACGGAAGGACCAACGGCGTGAGCAGGATCACGCAGAACACCTTGTTGGATGCTTTAGCCGATGTCGAGCAGTGGCGAGGAAGTCTCGCTGTGGCCTTTTTTCCGGCCTCTGAGCTGCGTCTGTCTCCTGACGCCTTTGGTTTGGCGGCTGCAATGACAGCCTGCGAGCGCGCACGTGCTTGGCAGTGCTCCTTCGAGCTGATGAGCCTATGGCGGAGCCGCGATAGGCCTCATGGCCCTGACGGGCTTGATGTTGTCTTGACGAACTGTGTGATAAGCGCCACTGTGCGAGCCTTGTGCTGGCAGGGGGCACTTTCTCTTTTCGCGAGTTTGCGCTGCGCCGATGCAGTAGAGCAGGCTTCTTTGGGGACATGCTTGACTGCGGCAGCATCTGCGCGTGAGTGGCCGATGGCTCTTGGTGTGCTAGGACACGTCTCTACCTACTCCTTGGAACTTGATCTGCTGGCTCTCACACCGGCCATACTTTCGCTTGGGTCTCGATGGCGTCTTTCCCTTTGCCTGGCTGGCAGTGCTGCAGGCAGGACTTTGGCAAGCTGGACGCCAGCGGTTGAGTCGGCTTCTCGCGTTACCGCGCCGTGCTTGCCAGTGTTGCTGGAAGATCTTGCAACTCGGCTTCATGTTTTTTTCCGTGAGCACGGCCGGGACATCCGAAAAGCAGGGAGCTTGCGCACAATAGGCAATAGGCAAGATCCAGCGAGGCTTCAGAAAGACACGATCGCTGAAGGCCTAAACACGAATCCGGTCCCAAGCTGGAGGACATGCATGTCTCAGTACTTGATCAGCAAGACGACGGCGTTGCCCTTTTCCGCGCAGGATTGGCTGGTGAAGCACGACCACGTCCCTGACCGCTTCAAAGAGGTCTAGACAAAAAAAGTTCAGAGCAAATTAGAAGATGCAGGTCGCGCTGGTATGGTTGAATCAAGCTTAGAGGTCCCACAAAGCTTGAAGAGCAAGAAGAGAAAGTTCGTCTCTTGGCCGCTTTTTGCGACGACTGGTGCCGCAGTGGCTTTGAAGTGTCTGCAAAGGGGTTGCATGCAAACTGGCGCCGACATAGCCAGGACGAGAAGCTGCAAGCAGAGATGTGCGGCACTGAACATACTGCACATGCAGCTGTGCTCTTCAGCATTAATTTGCGTTCTGTCCTCAAAATGAAGCTAAGCCAAGGTCAAAGCTTCCGTGGCGGGTCGCCTGTGGCTTTGGCTGAGCTTAGTTTTGTGCAGGAATCAGAATCGCTTGAATCGCCTTTCAAATTACTCTTGTTTCCAACACTGCACGCTCATGCACCCCTGTTGGGCCGCAACAGAGCTTGGGCCCCAACAGTACTACCACTCGCCGAATCTCCACTGGAGACCCCCAGCGATGCAGCGTACTGGCGGCACCCGTAACACCGTAACACAAGAACTGGCACTGGCACTGTCTCGCTTGCTAGCGCGATCTCGGTAGTTTGTCAACGCTTGCAACTCATGAGACATGGCTTTGCTGCTGTCTTCGCCTGCGGGCATCGCCTGCGGGCATCTTCTCCTGCATCAGTTGGCATCCCGCCAGAGGTGCAGAGATTCATCGGCACGTGGATGGTGGTTTCGGCGGCAGAATTTGCACCGTCTCCCGGCTGCCTTGGTGTGGTGGTTGCTACTGCTTCTTTCACGATAGCCCGCACTTGGGTAGGACATTGTGGGGACGATCCTTAGCAGCAGCCCAATCAGCAGCTGCCACCTCAGATCAACGGGCGAGACAGCCGGAGAGAGAGTCAGGGTCGGAGTCAGAGTCAGCCGCGGTCGGATTACGAGCAAGAAGCCTTGGAAGGGCTGGCTGCCCGTTCTTAAGACCTGCGGAAACACAGGGAGGGACGGGACTGGACTGCCAGCAGAAAGGGGGAAGCAGAAAGCAAAACCAGAGTTGCGCTCAGGGTCTAGTACATTGTGCAGGTGGTTGATTTTCCTATGGCCCCGTACATTGAACGAGCGTTGCGTCTGACAGGACCCCTGAGCACGTGAGGGAGAGATAGAGGGGTTTGTGTGTGTGTGTGTGCGCGTGCTTGCGGAGCTCGCTTGTCCTCCACCTACCCTTGCGCCTGTATGTTCGAAAAGTGCCCCAGGGTCAGCTAGTCCAGTGTGTTTTGAGATCCTGATCTGCTTCTGCACGCTGTCCCATGTGGACCCCTGAGACTTGATTTCTGTGCGGGCAGCCAAAGGGTTGTTGTATGAAAACGTTTCCTCACATTGCTGGCAGCCCATCAACCGTGGCAAGCTTGGGGGGAAGGTGTGTGTGTGTGTGCGCGCGTGCGTGCGCGCGCGCGTGCGGTGCTCGGGAACCCGTAAGCCCTTCAACGGAGCAGGGGAAGATGAAGAAATCTGCATAATTACCACCAGGCTGGTTGTGGATCCGCGATGGCGAACAGGCTCAGTGCAGAAATTTCGCCAAGTCCGGTTCTCCACCAATGTGACCTAGGTCACGGAGAGGCGGTGGTCCGAGAACGCTTCATGCATAATGTTGGTACCGCCTCCGAACGTCGCATCCGAGATTCCTACTTCCGGTTGAACAGCTGCATGTACAAGGCTTTCCCAGCAGGCCAGGCTGCTCGGCTCGAGTCTTCCGAAGGCGCCAGAATGCCCCCTGATGCAGGGATCCCCAGCTGGCGAAAGCCTTGTTCGGTCTCAGGGATCAGGACTGCCTTCCGCAATTTGTCTGATCTAACTATGACAGAGTCTCGAATACATGCATTAAATTAGCAATGCAGAAGGCAAAGAACATACATTAGCAATCTAGAAATACACGTCTACAGTTACATTAAACATGCAGGTTATTGTATCTACGAAAATCTATTTTCGTGATGGTTTAGCAACTACGGTTCGCAAGGTCTTGTTCTTGCCTTATTGGCATGTTCATACATATCCTTTACCTTTGTTTGCTGTGGTTGTCTTGGCTCTTCGTTGTTTCACCTGGGATATATCTTTCCAAAATCTCGGTCTTACTTTTTATGCAAGCTGGCTGATTGTTTTTCCGATCCTAAAGCCGTTGTTTGGGGGCCGACGTCTTCGCATTCCTGTCGAGTTCTTTCAAGGCGGCCTCTATGGGGGTACGATGTCTGCAAAGGCAGTTGCTTTCGTAGTTTGGACGGGTATATGTTTTCCGCGCATTCTTGGAGAACCTCTGTATCGATCCATACATGTTGCAGACTCGAGGACCTCTCCGGTTTGTAGCCATGATCTCGAAAAACCAAATTGCTCAAGACGAGAACAACCCGAGGACAGGCTCAACCTATCATATTCGACATGCATCAGAATCAGCAGCGCGAATCCTCAGTAAAGTGGTTCGTAATCATGTCTTCGGAGTGTTCCAAGACGATCCGTTTATTGCTTGAGGTGTGACATTTTGGAGTATGGATTAGGTCACTACATTTGATAATGTCGTATGTCAGGCAGGAGATGACCAGCTTCTGTGAACAAAAGCCGGGACGAACCGACTCAGATCGGAGGTGGCAGGACCAACATGTTATCGACTCGGCAGCGATATGTCCCACGTTCCTTTTTTTTGCCTCGTTCACCCGTGCCTTTGCAGTCTTGGGCTGTAGGTAACATTCTTCGTCGTTCTCCGCGGTCCGATGGCATTGTCTCTTGGAACAAGGTCAACGATAAGAACCGCCCGGTAGAAGACAATCTGTCTCTCTTGCCTGCCACAGAAGAATGCCTCGTCGAAATGTTGTAGCAGCACTGCTGTGGTAGCGAGGAGGTCATAACTGGAGCTGGTAATGCGATGAGTGTGCAGTTCTTAGTGTTGCCGGCAGCGAACTAGCTGCACTGCCGCCATCCTTCATGTGTTGAGCCGCATTCCTGCGACTTGTAGGTGCCAGTAATCGGATCCGTGCTAGCGGACATCTTCGTGAAAACTCTTGTCGGCAGGCTGTCTGGCCGGTCTAGCTGATGTGCAATCCTTCCCGCTGCATTGCACCACTGCACCATGTCGAGGCTGGATGCTGCGATGGAGGCCGATGCTCGTGTCGCCTTCCGACAGCAGGGCACCTTTTCGGCGGAAGGTCTCTGATTCCGAGGATGATGCGGATGGAGAGTCCAGCCAGGTGCCCTTAGTACATCGCCGTAGATGATGCCGGTGACAGCCACGTTTGCACGAGCTGGAGGGGCCTACCTTCCCCCGCTTCCGATGTGGATGCTGGCTCCACCTCAGGAGAGAAAATGGCCGTGTGGTCGAGCGCATGCGAGAGGCTGTTTTCCATGATCCGCAAAGTGTCCTGGAGAAGCTTGCCAGAGGGGCCGGGTGGGCAACCGCCCCATGTTTTTCTTTCGTTTGATCTGGTACAGCCGTATAGCTGCCCAGCAAATAGCTGCCAAGCAACTTTCGCATCCGAGGGCCATGGGTGATGTCTCTGTGCACTCCGGTCGTCGGAGCCAGAAGTTGGTGCTGGGACGAGATCCGAGGTGCGGGGGTGCAGTAGCATAGACGGAGCCTGTGGTGGAACTGAGACCCTAAAACCCTGCCGACCTGCACCTCAGAGTCCTCGCCGGCATGTCCGAGTTGTGAGAGCGTAAACCCTGGAAACAAACCAAGCTGCAATCAAGTGCGATAGGCTGTGATGGCAGTGGGAATGCTTGGTTGCGTCGGTCGTTGCTAGAAGATGGGATGAAGGAACTTGCGGCCAGCTTTTGAGATAAGCCTCACCAAAAGCAGGTAGCGAAGCCCAGGTTGAAATCATTAGGCACGCGCTTTCAAGCTCTGCTTCAGACCATGTCGGAGTTGTTCGAAGCGTTTTGCGAAGACCTGTTCGTAGAAGATAGAACGTTTGTCTGGCAGAGTTAGAGTGTGAGAGCCTATGTAGACGTCACAGACCACCGCCACCACAACAACAACCACGACAGCCACAATATCCGCCACGACCGACGACGACAGCGGCCAACGACCGTGGCTCTTCTTTTCCTCTTCTGCTACAATTCGATTCCAAGCCTCTGCGAGGCGAGCCTCTGCACTTCTCCTGGAGGACGTCTTGGAGACAGGCCTTAGATCAAAGTGCTTAAGACACCCGCAGACTCCAGGCCGACCGATTGCAAGAGACGTCGGTCATCAGCCGAGTTCATGCAGAACTCATTCCAGGACAGGGAGGGGCTGCTCCCAACACAAAGTTGGAGTAATAGCTGTAGCTATCATTCTCATTATGTGAGTCGCTTGTTATCAGGTTCCCAGCCAGGCGAAGCCTTTGTGCCGGAGACTTACTGTGTCTCTTCAAGCTTCAAAGACCGGCAGAGGTTTTTTGTTCAGAGAGACTGGGATGTGACTGTGCTGGGACTTAGGCGCGATCTGGGCAGCACAAACGGCTCGTGGATTCTGGGACGTGGACGCATCTGCGCACAAAACGTGGAGATGGAGGCGCTCCATAGCCAGTTGAGAATTTCAAGTGATGCGGAAGTCACAGCTTCCGCATGTGGGCACCTTCACGTAGGCCGCAATGATATCCCTGTCAGTCTTGAATCGGGTGAATCGGGAGGTCTTGTGCGGCGGAGACGAGATTTCTCTCGGGGTGGACCCGTCGACATGGCAAGAAGGCATTGACATCAAAGGGTCATGTGCAACGGGCATGTCGCTACAGTGACATCTTCTGCATCATGTTCAGATCGTGCGCGCTAGAGTCACCAGATGCTGAGAGGCCACAGCACACCGAGCTACCGCTTCCTGTACCGGGTGGAGATGTGCCTTGTGCGGCAGAAAGGAGCTGGCTTGGTAGTGACGCTGCAGAGAGGAAAAGGCAGGCCGTTTTTCTGGCATGTGGCACAAGGCCTACGAAGCGCCGGCGCACAGAGGCGGCTGAGACTCCTTCACCTGCACCAGAGCCTGTTCTCCGGCAGCTGTAATTGCTGGCTGGTGCATTGAAAGAGCTTCTGGTGACAAGTTTCCATGTGGATGGGATGCCCAGGAAGAGTTGGCGGAGGAGCAGGATCCGGAGCCTCCGGTGAATGAGGAGTCCGTCTTCCCCTCTGCTGCTGCCGCAATAGCAGCCCTTGAATCGCTGGAGCATGAGAGATGAAAAGTTCTTCTTGGACACCGCTTGCCGCTTTGAAACGTGCTTGATGATGACTGAGCGCACGGCATACGTACGGCAGCTTCGTCAAAGCCAAAGAGAGCAGTTGCGTGAAGTAGCATGCACAAATCACCGGTTCCCAAAGATCATGGAATGGAGTAGTATTTGCACATTCAGGACCTGCCGAGGAAATCGGCTGCTCAGTGGACATGCTAGATAGTGGCCTTTGCTCAACCTTCAATCAACCCGACGAGTAAAACGGAGGCGCAAACAGGCCAACATCGTCGAGCAATGAACATGCCCTTGTTTCAAGCCATGTTGTTTTGAGATGGGCAGAGCACTGGCGAAGTGCTCATGGCCGTGATATCTGGATTTGGTGGCAGTTGCCCCAATGTACAAAGACTTGGCGACATGGGCTCCAGGCCTACGCCGCGAACGGGGCTTCTGGTTGCGATGCTGTTGGTGCTTTCTGCATCCCAGCAGGATCCAGACCGGCTTCGAATATTGCATGCAACGCGGGCAGAGAGGCGGGTCATGTTACAGGACGAGGTGCTGGAGTATATTGAAATCGACTTACATTTCTCAGCGCCTGTTTATGCCGTCAGCTGCGCTCAGACCCGTGGACTCCATGTAGCCGAGGCAGACCGTTGTGCAAGCTGTCCGCCTGGCTGCACTCTATCGGCCGCATTTAGCCGATTTCCCTACGTCCCGGACTTGTTGCCAAAGTTGCAATCGGAGCCCGAATGCATCTGTGGCATTAGCTTCGAAGAGATGCAGTTGAAGGTTCAAGCTTGGCCGGGCGACCAGGGCTTCGGTGCTTTGGTGGATCGTCGGCCGGCCTTTATCCACGGAGTCCGCGACACGTCCATCATGTACAGTTCCGCCATTTGGAAGTTCGACTCGCTCATGGCTACCATCAAATGTCCGAATGAGGCCAACATGACCCCAGCATTGGCCAGAATCCGACGTTTTGGCATCAACGGACCTCCTGTGGACAATTCCCTGTTGTGGTTTCGGCGCTTCGAGACAGCATTTGGGGTTGAAACCATTCACAGGCTACTTGCCAACGCTTCGAAGTCGTACAGCTCGCGCCGTGCCATTTTCCTGCTGCCGGTTAAACGGACAAAACATGGACGCACCAAGCAGCTAGGACTTACTTTGCAAGAGATGGCAGGTTGCCGATTGGAGCTGCCCTACCTGGTGGGTCCTCGGGGAGAGCCAGCGGAGAGCGTGGAAAATGTGGCGGCTTTACCTGAGCAAAAGTTCGCTTGCAACTCTGTTGGCCTGCAGGCCGTCCATCGGCAGATGAAGGCTGTGATGGACCAAGTCTTGACAGCCGGCCAGCAAGACGGCCACTGTGTTTCAGACTGGAGAACAACCTTCCCTCCACGAGGGCGAGGGGGTCCTGGAGGAACGTCTGGAAGTGACTATGTTTGGGGAGATCAAGCTGGCAATGAAACGTATTCGCCCTACACGACTGCAACATCTGGAGAGAGAAGTCGCAAAGTAGGTGTCTTGGCATATCGAAACGATTTCGTATCCCCTACACCTGATATGGCAATGCCATGCAGCGTGTACAGATGGCAGTTGCGTCTTCGATCACATAACATGCGTGAGCGTGCGATCTCATACACTGCAGTGGATGCAGTGAATGGATGCTGGTCGATGATGGAGAGCAGCTTGAGGTTCGAGTCTCGGCCAGTCGTTCTGGACTCCCAGAGCTGCACGAAAGACCCCGAAGATGACGACTTCGTGTTCGATCCGTGCTGCAACCTGCAAAGGCTTAGGTGGCAGTGCTGTGCCAAGCAGACAAAGACACTGCAGCAATCTGTGCTGACGTCGGTGGACTTCAATGCAATGGCGCAGTGTCGCAAGGATGAGCATGGAAGAGCAAGTTTTGCCAAGGCGGCAATTGCAGCCGCCACGGCCTGGAAAAGACGCCTGACGGAGCCGCTGGGAGTGCAGCTCAGTTGGATGAAGTTGGCACTTCACGAGCAGGCCAATGCTGCAATGTGGCGATCAATCGAGCAGTGTCACTCGGATGTCATGGGCCGCTTTGATCGTGAGACTGGCATGTACCTGGGTACACCATGCGTCATTGACAGCGATTGCTTCACACGCTGCCGGAAGCCCGTCTTAGAAAGCTTGCAGGTCAGGGTTGCGCTGAACCAGGGATCTCCAGTGAAGAGGATGGTCTTGGGGCGATGCACTGTTCCCTCCGAGAGCCGCCACGTCTACATCGTTCGCTGTCTCGCACGGCGTTTGGGCAAGGAGGTGGTGGAACTGCTGGCGAAGCAGCTGGGCCTTGAAGTTCGTAGCAGAAACGAAGAGGCCATTGCCAATTCCCTCGCGGACCCATCCCACATGACGAGCGCGTGCGTGGGACCATTGGCAACGCCCGGCTGGGCTGTGTCGATGCAGGAATGTTTGAGACAAGAAGGCTGCAACTGGCACCATGAGATAAGATCTGCAGCAGAATGTACAGCTGAGCAGTTCCAAAACAATGAATTCTGTGGCTGTCTGGAGGGCAGCTGCCCGCAGCAGAGCAGACGAGCTGGGTGCATTACTGGTGCGAAGTACACAGACTATTGCACGGATGCTCGGGAGATGCTGCGGCCTTTGGAACTGGCATGTGCAAGCATTGCCACCAGCTCGGTCGAGCTCGCTCGATGTCGAAACTTGGCAGACGTGCACAGCTTCATGTTCAGGCACTGCATTTCGTCTCCTTGCCTACCAAGAGCTTCCTTTTTTTGGGCGGATGAGAAGTGCAACGACAACATGAGACGTGAGTTCCAGGGCTGCTATGATTCCTGTGTCATGCCCAGTGGGCCGAATCCAACAATAGACCGAAGTGTTTGTTTCCACGAGTTGTGGCCCAACGAAACCGATCAAGACTGCTACCAGAAGCCGGGCGATACAATGGTCCATTACAGCCCACCTCCAGGTGCAGAAAACATCGACGAGAATTGGGCTGGCGCGCTGCGCCTTGAGTTGCCCAACGACCGCCGGCCGAGATACTGCTCCATCCGCTTGTGGCAAGAGCTGGAGCAGGCCTATCCGCCCCGTTCCTTGGCCTCCGAGCGCGCAGCCTTGCTGTACAGGGTGACCCGCGAGAGCAACGAGAATGAGGCCGAGCTTCGTCGCACCGAGGGCCAACGACGGGAAGATGAGGTTTTTTCGACCGCAGAGCCTCCAAGATTCACAGGTTGCGATATGGGCCCGTTGCCGCTGACAGCAGATTCTACCATTGCCTGCAGAGCAAAGACCGAGTTCACATGCTGTTTTATGCCCACAAACCTCACAGCAGGTGCTTGTGAATTCTGCGCGTTGGCAAATACAACGTCGTGCAGCATCGGGCAGAAGCTGTCTGCCATTTGGGCGCCCAATCTCCAGCTCTACTCGGCGGTATTGGCAGAAGACCTAGGCAGCGATTTGGCCCGGGTAGACTGGGAAGATGGTGATACCTATTACCGTCAGGTTCCATGGGCCTGGCTGCGAAGCAGCTCTGGGACAGGTTGTCATCCCGTCGAGGAGGGCTGTGCAGCTCACCACCAATGCCCTGTTGGTTTCTACTGCTTCAGCTGCGAGACATGTGCACTCGCCTATGGAGGGAACCCTCCCCCGGGTCTTTGTGACCCATGTCCAACACATAGGGGCGGTGGCTGTGGCCGGCTCGATGCGTGCACCCGCTTGCAGGATAGCATTGACAATGTCTGCCCGACAGAGGGTTTAATTGAATGCCCTTGCAAGGAGGAGTGGAGTGTGAGGTACCAGTATCCAGGGGCCCCATCCGAACAGAGCATAAACGATTGCTACTTCGACGTGTCCTCCAACAGCCGCTGGTGCGAAGTGGATGAATCCTACTTTGGTACAGGGTGCAATCTTCAAAGACTAGTGGGCAAAGATCGGTTTATTTTTTGGCAGACCTGCCGCCCAAAGACCTGCGACTTCTGCAACTGTGACTGTAGCGAGAATTGTCAGGCTTTCGATGTGCTCCCCGCATACGGCCGCCTTCCGGCCGAAATTGTGCCTGGAGCGTTGGATGCCACGCTGAGCAACTCGATGAAGCGCTTTGCCGGGATCGTCGCTCCAAATTGCACACAAGGTAGTTCTGCCCGCATCCGCGACATTTGCGAATACTGCGTGGCCTGCTGCAATGATTTCTGCAATGCGAAAGCCAAGGCTGAAGGTGGCTTTGACTGTACGACCACTGAGGTATCAGGCTGCTCTGACATGGTGCATGGATGGGTTGACAGCGTGGGCCGAAACTGTCCAAGCTACGTGATAGATAGTCTCTGCACCCAGCAAGGCCTGTATGGCACCAATTGGGTGTACAATCCCCCTCGTACATTTGCAGACTTTTCCTCCAGTGGCCTGGCTGCCACTGATGTTTGTTGCGACTGTGGTGGTGGAGTGGACTGCAGCGACAGTCCCTTCGACTGGGCCGATTCCGACGGGCATGGCTGCGCAACTTACGAAACCTTCAAGTGGTGCAATCGGGCTGGGTATGGCCCTGGCTGGGACTTGACTTGGGGTCCTTTCAAGCTTGGCACCAGTGGCGTGGATGCCCACACGGCCTGTTGCATCTGCGGTGGTGGGCAGGGCCTTGTGGTCCCGGAGGTCATCAACAATTTGGTGAACGATGAAGCAACTTGCATGGCCGTCTGGCCTGGGCGAGCACAGTGGCAGCCTCCTCCGTGGTTTCAGCGCGGCATTCACCTGTGTCAGCTACACAGCAACATCTGCGGCCGCAAGCTGCAGGCGACTATGTATGATCCGGCAACCGCGTCAAACATGGCCGACGATGAGCGCATCTTTGGGCTTTGTCTTCAGCGAGCTTACGACACAGGCACGCTCCCTTACTTGGAGGACTTTGAAATGTCTCTAGCCCCTATTGGGCCCGGGCGACGTCTCCAGAGGACATCGTCTGGAAACGCATCCTTTGTCAAATTTCTATCAAAGAAGATGAGCTCAACAGCCTTGCGGCGCCTTGCCAGCCGCTTCAACTTCTCACGCCAGCTTGCAGTCCTAGATCGAAATCAGAAGATGGATCCGACCCTCTTGACAAGGCAGCTTTTCCGCGAGGGTACATCTGTACGTGTGGACTTCTTTGGTAATCGTGGTCTCGGCGTATGCTATTATAGGATGCCGGATCCACGTGAGATGTACGGCGGTGCAAACCGTGAGGTCTTTCCTCCACCTTTGCTTCCAACGAGGACGACAGAAACAGACGTTTTCGAGAGGCCCACGCTTCAAGCACTCGGATGGCCGCAAAGCTTCTGGAGCGCGCTCTTTGAGAATGGTGATGCCGCGTATGCGCTTGATCTAGTCGTGAACCCACAGAGGTTCAACACAGCAGACGATTTCAGCACCGTGCTGCGAGGTTTGCTTGCCAAACACAACGTGCAGCTTGTCCTCAAGGGCGAGTTTGACAACCGAGTTCAAAACTGGACGGCTTGGTTGGCCACCCTATCATGCAAAGGTCCTGAGGACGATCTCACAAAGTTCAGCCAAGGGACAGAATGGCGCCCTGCAGTCCTTCACGAACGCGAAAGCTGTCGCGTGTCTCGCTGTGATGTAGACGACATGATTCTGGATGAGCTAACTTGCCGTCTTACTTATGGCTGCACGGCATCATGCACGTTCTGTGCATCTCCAGCACTTGCCACTCAAGACAACGGGCTCTGTGTGTCAAGTGACACTTCGAGCTGCACCAGCTTGGGTGGTATTGTTGTTCAGGGAGATCTCTTCGACGAAAGAATGGGGGTGAGGCGGTTTCAGCGAGTCTGTGCTCTCCGGCATCGGCCGACGATCTACTGCATGGGACCCGGCTTCTCGGTGAAGCGGTGTGAGAACTTCGACGAGCAAAGCTGCGAGCAAGATCCGCTGGCTACACTCATGGGATGCTACCAGGGAGTCCGGCCCTGCCAAACAGAAGGTCGCTGCCAGATGTCCGGGCATTGCAGCGATACAGACATCGGCCTGAACCTGGCCAGTCCGGGGACATGCGTGATTACTCCGCTTGACGACAACCTGTTGCAGCAGGGCTGTTCGATTGGAGGAGCTGGCACATTTCCAGATGGATTGTGCTTCTTCCGCTTGGACCCTGCCTTTGGCATGGAGGTCCGACGCCGCCATGGCTTGATGGATCTGTCCAACCTGACTTCTGATGGAGCGGGCACAGAGCTTGAAGATGCTGCTGCATGGGCCGCATCATTGCAAGAGGCCCGGCTCGCATCGGAGACGACCGACACAGATCTGCTGCGGGCTCGGCTGCGTGATGCCGGAAAGCTGAACCGCTCAGAATGCGAAGCGCTGAATCCGTTAGCGCCACCTTTTGAAGCCGTCTGGATTGAGCGATCCGTGACCCCACAAGGATGCGCTCGTTGGAAAGCTTGTTGCCTGCTGCAGCAGGGCGACCGATGTGAGCTTTTTACCAACAATGCAGTCAATGCAGAAGCCGACCCGGACCTTGCAGAAGCAAAGAAGGCTGAGTGTTCCGAATGCGGTGGAAAATGGGTTGAGATTTTCCAATGGACGGCAGGAGTGTGGAAGCGGGGTGATTTGCTTTCGCCACAAAGAGGTTGGTACAGCCGCCGCTGGGGCAGCATCAATCGCTGGGTGGAAGTCGTGGATATCGACCTACTGCGCCGGTTATTCGAGAATGCTTTGGATGAGCGGCTTGGGAGACAACGCCTCAATGCGGCGGTTAGCATGGTGGAGCCCCTGATGACCTCACTGCAGCTTTTCGCAGCTGCTTGCGGAGATGGGGCCGACGTAATGGATGCTTCAGTGCAAAGGGCAGAGCTTCTGGAGGACAAGCTCGCCGCACCTCCTAGCGTGCAGCTACCTTCCGGCACCTTTCAGCTCGGACAGATTCTAGCAACGTCCGGACTCATAAGTTCTGGATCCGTCGGAGATGTGCAGCTTTCCTGGCATGAATATAGTGCATCACGATTCGGTGAAGCAAGTGGGCCAGCAGTAACCTACGATATCAGCCTCATGCCCTTTGAGTATATGCTTGGAGCTGCAGCGTCGCAGATCGCATTGCCCGGTAGATCTGGACTGGTTCGGAACTATCTGCTCGATTATTTGATTGTCCAAGACACTACCACCACCCTGTCTCCTGCGAGCATGGAGACCATCGATGCGGGCGGCATACGTGGAGGCTATCCCGCCTGGATCATCAACGAGATGCTCAGGTTAGACATCGACGAAGAGGCGGAAGCAGAAGAGGCTGCCGCACTGGCCGAAAAGCTGGCGGCCACGGAAGCTGGGTTCTTGCTCAGGAGCTTCGTGTAAGTTACCATAATAGGGGGCCTGTCTAGAGTCTATTTTAATGATAAGATGGTATTGCTGACTATGGTAATTCGCTTGAAATTTACGTTCCTTAGCCCAGGAAGAGACCCGGCGCCAAGAGCGGCTCCGAGCCCAGGAAGCCGCGGCTCAGGCCGCAGACGCCGCCTCGGAGCTGCCTCCCGCGTCCCTTTTTGTCCCTGCCTCAAAGTTTACGACGAGCTTGAAACAAGCTGCCTCCCTCCCTCTTGAGTTTGAGGTGATTGTTGGATGAGTTTTGAGTCGAACTCTGAGGTTCTGACTGGCGAGTACCTCCAGAACAACTCGGACGATGGGTCTCAAACTGGTGATGCCTTCAACCTGGCCAGTTTCGACTGCAGGAACATTATTGCAAATGCTCAGGGCGAAATGTTTGGGCAGATTATCGGGGATTGCGTGCAGGTACAGAGCTCTCAGACGATCGAGAACTCTGTAGAGCTATGCTTGCCTTTGAGTTTTGGGACGCCAGAGGACATCAGCGCCTTCAACAGTACAGCTCAGGTGGAGGTGGCTGGCATGCGCTTCGACTTTGCTGTGAGCCGGATGGTTCCTGATACTTACGAGACTGAGCTTCCTCCTCCGCTGCAGTCAGGCACTGAAGTTCCCGGTAGGCTTGGGGATGTGATGTGGAACTGGAAGGACAGTGGCACCTATGGTCGTTTGGTACCTGGCAGTTTCCACCTGACTCCAGCAAATCTCGCTGCCGAGATGCGCACTGATGGAGCTACAGGGGCCCGGCTTTGCTCCCGTATCTTTGCAGCAGAGACATACTGTCCCATTCTACGTCTGGGCACGCACTTCCGGGCCCCGATCTGGACGAATGCTACAGGACAACCTCGTGTAGGCGGCTTCGAGTCAGGCTGCACTCGTTTCGACGGCCTGCTAGCTGAAATCCATCGGAGGCAAATGGGGCGCATGAGCTCTCCGGTCGCCTATGTGCCCTTGGATCAGCAGGTTGCAGAGGAAGAGATCCTTGAAGAACGGCTCAGCAAGGGAGTGCTCTCAACAGTGGAGCCTACCTCAGATTTGCCAGTCTGCTTGCCCGGCCAATGCCTCGTGCGCCGCGACAACGGGCTCCAAATCATGAGCGTAGATTCCAGTGCCGGCAGATGTGCAATAAATTGTTAGCTGTTAGTCTTTCGTACATAGTGTAGGTAGTCCGGCAATCCAAGAGGTTGCGGTTGTGAAGGTCATGTGACCCAAGTTGTCTCACTGCAGAATGCTGGCGAAGCCGGCAGTTTGCGACAGAACCAGGGCAGGGCGTTCAATTGTCAGGTGCTCTAAGCTCCTGCAAGATGCAGATTGAAGGCCGCATTCAAAGCGCCGACTGCACCTGCGCATGTGCAAGCACAAAGTCCGCACAGCGCGTGCCCTCGCCCTAGTCCACGACGCTTCCTGCATTTGTGTGCAGTACTGCCAACACATGGCCCAGATACTGCGCCCACATATTGATGAACCAAGATCATGCAAGTCAAGTCACCTGCGTAGTGTCGGTATACAGCTCATTCCAGTCTTTGCATCAATGAATGGAGATTGTTGGGCGACTAGGGGTCTTCCGATGTCCCGAACAACTCAGGGTCACTTGCAACAAAGCCTGCGGCAACCTTGTTACCATCTGCGCAGCTGTGCATGCACAAGGTGTGATTTGTCAGGCAAGTTGTGGGTAGAGATGGACCCAGCACGGTGTTGACTATGCTGCGAGGATGCGCCCTTGCGCTGCTGTCGCTGCCAGGTTCACAAAGCATCGAGTGCAATGTGGACGGCGGCGAATACCTCGAACAGTATTGGCTAATGTTCCCCATGGAGTCGTGTCATGAATGTCCTCTCGGGCGGTACCGCCGTGCGGAGATGGCTTGTACTCAGAGTTCTGGGCAGGCGAAGGAATGCCCCAAGTGCACTCCATGCCCAGAGGGCCGAAGCACAAAGCAGAAGGCTTCTACAACCGAGGAGGCTTGTGACGTGGAGTGGAACGTGACATCCTTTATGCACTCGGTGTCTATGTTGATCGTCGATGCCTTTCTAGCCTCACTTATTGTGCTGATCCCCTGCTGTTGCCTTATCTGCTACTGCTGCCGGCTTGCGGGCAAGGACTCTGCACGCGCCGACATTGCCAGAGAGAGCAATGTAGTGACAGTCGGCGCTCGAAACACCAGGCATGGGTCTAAGAGCTCCGTCCGACCTGATGGTGACCACACGAGTACTGTTGTGAACATTGGTGCTCGGAAGAGTACCAGGAATGGCTCAAAGGACTCCACCAAAGGCGTTGCTCGGGCTGACACCGACGGCAGCTCCAACGTTACTCCTTTCAGCGCCATAGACAGCGGAAGCAGACAGGGCTCCAAAACCTTCAATCGGCCCAGAGACACTGGCAGTTCCGATCACATCACGACCGTCGAAAAGTTCGTCGGGGACACGGCTGGCTCTGCGATGTCTTTACGGCCAACTCTGAGCACCGGCTCTTCTTCAAATTTGCTCAAGGTTGCTCCGAACAGCAGCATGAGGCATGGCTCCAAAAACTCAGGCCGACCCAGCGGGACCGGGAATGGCGAAAGCACCTTGGCCGGCTCTAAGAGTCCGAGATCGAGAAGCCACCGGAGTGTTCGCATCCTTGATCCTGCAGAGGATGCAGAACAGGCGCGTTGGGCGTTTCCTTCACCGAAGGAGGCACCGAAAGAGTCGCTGGCCGGGGAAGCACGTGGCAGCATGTCTGTACAGGAGTATCAAGATCTCAGCTAGCAATGCTAGCTGCTCGTAGTGTAGCACAGTACAATTTTTGAGGGCATCCGAAATCGGGATCCCTTTCTTAACTATAGGCACGATGCACCCCCTTTGCGTTAATGATCTACGCGCAAAGCTGGGTTGAGGGAAACCCTAACCCAACATTGCTCGACTTACGAAGATTTCACAGGTCTCGAACGTGTCTGAGTCGCAATACGCCAAAGGCGTGAGATGGCACTCTGGACCAGTTTTCATGCGTGATTTGTTGGCTTGGGGAAAGGTTGAGAGTTGAGAGTAAAGCAGCAACCGGTGGAACTGTGCCATGTGTTGGTTTTTGTCAGAGAATCTGATTCGTGTGGCTTTGGCCTGAGCTCGCTTCTGCAAAAGCGCCGGTCGCGAGATGGAGCTGGAAACCCAAAGACTGGAGGACAAGACCCCGCTCTCTCTCGCTCTCTCTGCTGTGCCACTGTACAACAGCACGGTTTTAGTGCGCGTCCATTTTACAAAATCCTTGCAGTACTCCTTGCGGTGATTTTCAGCCCCTCAGCCGGTCCCCGCCGGAAATGCGCCCGAAAGTGCTTGTTGCTGGAGGAGTCGCGGGACCTCCTGGAAGATGGGCCGAAACCGATACCAGCACCTGCATCGTGCCACAAGGCATCCTTTTCAGCTGACTTACGACGTCCAGTGTCTGTCCATGGCCATGCGTGTGCGAGGTCAAAAAGTGGACTTTGGGCGTGGTGAGCGGGGCCGCCTTCCTGGTCCTTTGCAGGCCAGCTCGCAGCTCTCAGTCACACTGATCGGCGTAGGATGAACAGCACGGTGATTTTTCTTAATTCTCAGCAACCACTCAGCATGACAACGGTTCCTGTGAGAGGTATGCTGGCAGTCTGAATCTGTTTAGCACATCGTCCGCGGCTTCAGTGGCTATGTTGAGCGAGGAGAACGAGGAGATAGCCTGGAGCTCGTTTGCCCATGTTGGCAGCAGTCAGCTCAGCTGGCAGCGAGTCAGCTTGCCTGAGGTTGGAAAATGTGCAGGCAGTATCCCTGCCCGAAGCTCGAGATGCTTCAGTAGTGCAGGCCGCCATACCCAGCGATGGCTTAGGTGGAAGGAGCTGCCACGCCCATCCAGGTAGTCAGTGCTGTCTGGAATGTTCCAGGCCCGTGCCGCTGCTTCAAGACGCAAGCTCCCCAAGCCTCGTTTTTCCAGGCGACGAGGCCGAACCAGTCAGGGCTCTTGGCAGCGCGATTTCAGTGCCATTGACGAGCCGGGCCTATTTTGGCACCACGTGCGTGAGCCTTTGATATGGCCAGCAATATCAATCGTTAAGGCACATGAACAGGCAAAGATAACTCGAGCTGTTTAGCGCTCCAGGTTCTACGGCGGAGTACAATCCCAAAGAATATTTTGAGACCTGGCAAGCACTCATGTTCCAAAACGCATCACAATGCTAGTGGGCATTTTTGTGAGCTGACCGGTGAGCTGCAGGCTCAGAACCTGTTGGGCAAGCAGCTGATGTTTACAATCGATCTTTCCAGTGCTGGTTGTGGTTCCCCTGGCGAAATCTGAAGATTGGCTAAGGCAAACACTTCAAGCTTAGCAGTTTGTTTGCTGCCCAGTCGAGCCAAGGTTGCAACGCGGCTTTTTACCTAACATCAATGGCATACGTGGAAAAGGAGACTGATTGCAAGGACTACTACTGCGATGCCATGAGCGTCTGCGGCGTTCGCTGTCCGGAGATTGACATCATGGAAGCCAACAAGCATGCCTTCCGCTCGACGCTCCACGACGGGATCTCGAACCAAGAGCTCCCCACGGGCGGCTTCGGCGGGGGAGGTGTCTTGTCTGTGTGTCGTCGAGATGTTGGGTGCGACTGCGCTAGTACGCGTTTTTGGAAGTGTTTCCACTTAGGCAAAGGCTGGATGGGACCGCGGGACTGGTCGAGCGAGCAGTCCCGCAGAGGCACGTGGCAGCAAAAGGCGCCTTTCTTGCGGCATACTGCGCTCAGGTATGGTCCTGGGGCGCGGTGCATCGACACCAACAACCCTTTCCAGGTAGCTGAAATGGATTTCTGTTGCAGCTTGAAGCTTCCGCCGCTTCCGCCTGGCAGGTCGCAGCCAGATTCCCGGTGGACATGTATGGGAAGCTGGCAGGCATGGAGGTTGTCTTACTGCAGCTCTCAGCTCAGATGCTGTGTCCGCAAGGGGATTCCCTTTCGTGTCCGAAGAAATGATTCTACGGTTGATATGGCTTAATTTTCGGATTCCTTGGCGATGGTTCCCCGCACCGTCTGAATGCTAATCCAAGATTTAGGAGAAACTGCGAGCTGCTAGTCGACATCTCCGAGTACAAGGATCCCAAGACAGGCTGGCACCATGTAGCGAAGATGTGTGTCGGAGGTCTTCAACTTTAGGGTTACTTCGCCTGCCCCGAAGTTAGTACGGATGACAAACAGCCGAGTGATAGAGAAACGCAGCCGTGCTGGGTCACTAACGCGGCCGACGTATGCCCCACCGCCAGACTCCCACGAAGTCACCACGGGCTCTTGCAAAGCACTCGCAAGACAAATTTTTTCCAAGCGCAATCACTCCAGTCCACACCGTTTCAGATGTGGACATAACTGTGGGTGTTAACGACACACTGGGCCTGCAATTTGTCATTGGACAGGATGTCCCTGCAGGATTTTCCTTGCAAGACGATTCATTGGATTCCGCCACCTGCTTCGTTCCATCGTTTTCTGTGCTTCCTGCACCCTTTAACTATCAACGATGCTCGTCGTATCCACATATGCCACAAGAATCCTATTGACTTCATGTTTTGTATTCTTGACGCTTGCCGGCATTGAGTCACAATGTAACTCATCTGGGTGACATCCCAGGAAGCACACGAGAAAGTAGTCATGAGGCACCTCTCTTCTTGTTTGTGCCCCTGCTGCTACGACTACTGCTGCTGATGCTGCTACGGCCGCCGCCGCCACCACCACCCACCACCACCACCACCACCACCACCGCCACCGCCACCGCCACCGCCATCGCCACCACGACCACCACCACCAACACCACCACCACCACCACCACCACCACCACCACCACCACGACGGCCACGACCACGACCACGACTACGATGACTACTACTGCTACGACTATCGCGACTACGACGATTGGGCAACGACAGCCACTACTGCTACTACTCTTGCCTTCTCCCTTCTTGTTGTGTCTTGCAAGAAGTAGTGATGGTGTTTGAGCTGCCTCTGACCCCACCAACTTTTGGAACAAGACATTGTCCGGCCACAGACACCAGATCTCGCAGGTGACGATATGCTTCACCTGTTGGGGAAGACTTTGGAGGCAGGAATGACTCCCATCGTTAGCTATTGGAAATCTCGGACAATGACCTGGCTGGATGGCCATGGCCCTGACGAAGTTGGCAGCGGCTTGTGCGAGAAATCGGAGGACGAAGAGCCTGAATGCTCAGACATTTTGGGCAGGCAGGAAGTCGAATTTTCATTCTTTTCGATCACAGACCTGGTGGCATAGAGGTGAAGCCATCTTGCCACCACACCTCTCAGCATCTCGAGTATAGTCATAAGTCCACATGCTGGAGGAATGCATCCTCAAAGGGGATTCTCTGTCTTGGCATGTAGGGCAGCGCTTGTGCTCTTCACTCCTGGAAGCTTGGAGCACTGCCACGGCATTCGCTGGCGGTTTTCTCGGACACTTTTAATGCTGACTTCTTTGATAGCAGCCGCTGTACCTCGACGAGTTTTAGGGTATGCCGGCGGGTAAACGAATGACCTCTGATGCGTTTTCTGCCTCCGGCAAGTCGGGATGAACACAGATGCCCTTCAACGGCCAGCACGGTCTCCCCCTGTGTGATGTTTAAGCTCCAGCCTGGGTGCACCACAGGTCGAAACAGGCCGTGGCTAGTTAGAAGAACGATTTTGCTGTACCAGGCAGAAGCTTCCGCCGACAGAACTGAGAGAGAACAGCTTTGTGATGCATGGAGATCAGGAGGCCTCGAGCTGCGTAGGGCCTCAACACAGTCGCATCTCTTAAGTTAGGTCCTAGGAAGTTGGGACCTTTGGACCCCATGCTCTGATGGGCGCCTCTTTGGCCTCTTGCGAGCGATGTGTTGGACCGGGAGAGCGCTTGGCATCCGGAGCGGCATCAGTGACCCGGCATGCAGTGTCGGCAACGACCCGAGAGTCGTGCTTCGATTTCCGTTGAAGATAAAGCGGGCCAGGGTAACTTCAGATCCAGAGCGCTCGCATGTCGAGGATGTGCACAAAGCAGAGAACTCCTCCATGCTCCCAAGCGGGCACCTCGGTGGTCGGCCACTTGCAGCCTCTTGCAGCTATTAGCAGACCTGTGCTGGCTCAGATGGGCCACCGACGCGGCGGACAGACACGGCGGTCGCCCATTCAGACGATGATGTGGTTTCCCTCTCTAGGCGGCTTGGATGCCATCGGATGCCGCTGAGCCATCGCCCTGCTGGCAATGAAGCCTCGGGTGCCGCGACTCAGGCAGGAAATCCTCGCCAACGTTTTCAAGAGGCTGCAGAGGGCGCATGAGGACCAGGGCACAGTTGGATCTTGACACCCGGAACATGCCGGAACGATGATGCCACCACGCAGGAACATCTTGTGCAAAGCCACAAGCTCCTTCAAGAACTTGAGGTCGGACTGGAGGCAGGACCACCTCCACTTCGCTTTCATGGCTTGACACACGTGCACGTCACACGTATCGCCAGTTCCAAGTTGAGGTTCCGAAATCTGAAGTGAAAGCTTGCATGCGAAAGATCGCAGCAGAAAGGAACAGTCTCGAAGAGGACTCCCCCGACTAGCTTGAGAAGACTTGACCTCTCGGTTCTACTTCCTGTGCAGGAGACGAGAGCGCACTCGGACTGGTGCGGCACAATGCTTGAGACACTCAACGCCTTGCCGGACGAGTCGGGCACTTGGATTTGGGAGAGGCTGTGATAAGTCGGTCCTACTTAGCTTCGTCTTCGCAGTACAAGTTCGCTGCTGAGGCTGGCAGTGCTTCAGCCGGAGGAGGCCTCCTCTCACCCTCCCTCCCTCTCGCTGTCGCTCTCCCTCTACAGGTAGCTCCCGCTCGCTCGCGCTCTCTCTCTCTCTCTCTCTCTCTCTCTCTCTCGCTTTTATTCGGGGACTCTTAGACTTAGCGTGATGCCGATCTACTTCATTTTTCTAGCGAGAAGGCTACACATGATGCTGTGGCAGAGAAGGAGCAGCCTGCTTGCAGCTATTCCTTTGAGTCCTGGCCCGGCAGAGAGTGGCAGCTTCCTAAGGCCTTCACTACGGCAGGCAACGATGTTCATGCTTGCTGTCTGGATGTGTCACTGCGAGCGGTGGTGCCCACGTTGATTCGCCGCAGATTTTGGCAGGATGTGGCGATAGCCGTGAGCAACCAGTTTCTCGAGAGCACAGACACTACAGGATACAGCAAGAGCCGCAAAGTGCGATGCGTTCAGCATGCCTAGCATCTGGGTTCGTAGGACGTCTCGCCAGTGATCCGAAGATAAGGGCGGTGACCCTGGCAGTCCTCCCTGGTGCAGTGACTGCAGAAGCCGAGAGTGAATGGTGTTTGCTTTAGGCATCTCGTGCACTCGGGCGTCGCGTTATGAGGATGCTTGCTGTCAGATGGACGTGTGTCAGCTGCAAGCAGCAGTCTCTTGCATCAAATCCAAAACACAGCATGGCTTGGCAAACTGGCTAAGGCTTTACATCTGTCTCACGGTAGCCTTGTTTGGACCGGGCGTTGTGACATTGATGAACCTCCCAGACGATCCAACGGTGCCGCACCCGAACAGCATGGGCTTTCTGAAAGCTCTCCAAGGCATCAAGACTCAAAGCAAAAGCAAGCTAAGTCACTAAGGTGCTCATCCTGGACGTGATCATGTGCCTCATCGCTTTTGCCTTCGCCATGGAGATGGTCGGCCTCCTGCTCTCGGACACACAATTCTCTCATTTTTTTGCCTCTCTCTCTCTCTCTCTCTCTCTCTCTCTCTCTCTCTCTCGCTCTCTTGCAGAATGCGTGAAGCTCACTCGCAAGCTGTCCTCAGCAGGACGAGATGTACAGATTCTCGTTCTTCTTTTGGCCGGCAGCCGAGAGAGTGGAGCAAGGGGATCGTCTGGCGTTCAAGACAGATGCTGCACTCGACACCAGGATGGACCTCTTGGGAACCCTTTCGATGGCATTTGAGATTTCCTTCCTACTTGGCCAGTACTTGAATTCGAACACCGTCAGAGGCCTACCCAACATTTGGGACTTCGCAGACTGCCGTGAAAGTGTCCAACGCCTTCCTGAGGTTGTCCTCAGAACAGCTAGAACAGCCAAACTGGGGGCAAGGATTGGCAGGCTCATCAAGCTCGTGAAATGCGTTAGCAACTGTGCTTGAAGTGCTGAAGAGATGCTCATACAAGTATTCGTAGGGTCTGAGCACCTCCCATTCAAGGTATGTTCTACAGATCAGCAGCGAAAACGAGTCGGGTGGAAGCCAAAGTTCTGGCGAGAAGGCTTGTGGTGCTCTTGTCTACCCGGGTCTCTGTGATTGTCATTGTTATGGTGATGGCCAGGCCCGCAGTTGTCTCGGGGCGCGAAGAATAAGTCTCTTCAGTGCACCTGCGGCATGTCGCGACCGGCCAGCTGAGGTCGTGCCTCTTTCGGCATACCCCTTATACCCCACGGAAGACATGTCCCTGACTCTGTGGCCACAGAAGTTAGAGGAGAGCTACGTCAGGGAGCAGCAAGACGGGCTTGCCGGCGCTTTGCAAGAAACCATTGATCAGATGGTCCAGTTCTATGAGCCGGTCAACTACAGTCCCTTCCTTGTCAGAGGCTTTGGGGACGAGCGAACCCTTGCTGCGAGTCCTGTGCGGACGAGGAACTCCTTGAAGGTCTTGCTCGAAAGCTGCACAGTTCAACGCCCCGAGGGTTGTGACGTAGCCGTCATCTTCGACTTCACCGGCCCGAACCAAATGGATGCCCTGGTGGAAGTTGGCACGATTCTTTTCATTGTGCTGCTGATGGCAGTCACAAGCTTCGACTTGCAGAACGTCGTGGACAGGAAGCTGGTCAAGCCTTTAGAGGGCATGTTGCACCACGTTCGCGAAAACGCTGCGCATATCTTTGATCGTTTCGCCAAGCAGACGGAAGGCACAGAGGGTGCCGAGTTGGATGACGAGGAGCTCCAAGACCAGCAGGGAGGAGCATCTGAGATTGAGCTGATCCAGGCCATCCTCGAAAAGCTCGCACGCCTGGCCAGTCTTGCCGAGAGCTCCAATAAGGCTTACACCCCAGCAGAGCTCGATGCCATGAATGCAGAAAACAAGGCTGTACTGATCGATATGCTAAATGTGCAAGTCCTCCAGTCCAGTGCCCAAAGCAAGCTTGGGGGCAAAAGGAATACTAAAGCCGACCTCCACGCGACTTGGACACAGAACTGGAACCTTGATTTCCTCGAGTCCACTTTGGAGGAAATCCACGGATACGTGCACTACATGTTCTTCTTGTCGCAGTTCGGCCTCGCTGCGCAGTACACGGCAGAAGATCGCTTCCTCCTCTTCGTCCAAACAGTGGAGGCCAACTACAAAGACGCCTGTTCGATGCTATCAGAGGCATAGTTTTACCACTATGAAAAGGCTGTTGAGGATGGTTTAAGCTTAAGGCAAAAGTTAGATGTGTTGCTCCGGGTGTACTTAAGTCCCAAGCCCAAGGACGTGCCATATCATTGCTTTCAGCATGCGGTGGATGTGTGCTTTACGGTTTTCCGTCTGCAGCAAATCACGCAAGCTGGAAAGTGGATGAGCGAACTGGAGCAGTATGCTCTGCTCGTGGCTGCGCTCAGCCACGACCTCGGCCATTTCGGCAGAACGAATCAGTTTCTAGTGGAGACGAAGCACGAGCTGGCCCTACGGTACAACGACAAGTCCCCTTTGGAAAACATGCACTGTGCTGCCTTGTTTCAGCTGTGCAGAGACCCGGACAAGGACGTGCCTGGACCTCAGGCATAGTCTGTGTTCGACAAGTCGAGCATGGTGCTTAGCCACCAGTGTCCTCACATGTGTTGAGGTTCGTGCAGGCCTCCAAAGACGAGCAGAAGGAGGTGCGAAAAGTCTGTATTGCAACCATCCTGCACACGGACAACGTACACCACTTCGACATGGTCAAGGACTGGAAAAGGTAGCAAATCGAACCACACCCCAACGGGTACTTGATTGAACGACACATCATCTAGAAGCACATGATTGACAGTGTTTATTTGTTATGTGAGTCCTACGTCTTACGATGTGCGGCCCCTATCTCGTTTGCCTCCAAATAGGTGTTCGGGGCAAAGTTGACCAAAGGAGGTGATCTCGTTCATGTTGATAGAGAAGGATAGTAGTAGCAGTAGTCTTTGTCTTCGTCCTCGTCCTCGTCCTCGTCCTCGTCCTCGTCCTCGTCCTCGTCCTCGTCCTCGTCCTCGTCCTCGTCCTCGTCCTCGTCCTCGTCCTCGTCGTAGTAGTAGTAGTCGTCGTCGTCGTCGTCGTAGTAGTAGTAGTAGTACTTAGTAGTAGTAGCACTAGTAGCACTAGTAGCACTAGTAGCACTAGTAGCACTAGTAGTACTAGTAGTACTAGTAGTACTAGTAGTACTAGTAGTACTGGTACTGGTACGAGGACAAGAAGTAGCAGCAGCAGCTGTTGTCGTAGCAGCAGCAGCAGCGGGAGGAGTAGGAGAAGGAGCAGGAGTAGGAGTCGTCGTCGTCGTCGTTAGCAGTGTTGGGACAGCATGGTACAGCTTCCACGGCTCGGGATAGGTTTCTGTATGTAAGTATTCCTGCAGATACAGGTAGGTCACGTCATGTGTTTTTATAAGGACGTGGATTACTTTTCTGGATCTCGTTTGGATGTAGTTTGAATCTCGTTTGCACGGATTCTGTTCGCAAGCGAAGCACACAGCAAAGGGCCAGCAAGATGACATCAAACCGCCGATGTACGTGTGTCGAAAATGCCAGCTCCAGCCGCGACCATCAAGGCATACAGCATGATGGCCTTCTTGTGCGGCCCCTATCGAACGCATTTTGATGCAAACCATGATCTCGTTGTCATTCGTAGTTTGAAAAAATAGCTTCTGCTGCCTAACGTGCACATTTCTGTCATGAAACGACTCCGAGCTTTTGGGGTCGCAGTGAGGACATCAGTGCCGTTTACGAGATGGAGTCCGAGACTTGCGACACCCAGGCCGGTCACCCTGAGGCCTGTCCGTTCCCGAATTTTGGTGATGTCGGGCGACCTGGTATGCCCTATGGGTTTTGAGTTTTGACACAGAAGTGATCCAGGCTTTTACACAAGCCTACACCGAGAATGTCTTGAGTGGCAAGAACAAGCTCATGTGGCTGCAGCTTTTCTTGCACTTCGCCGATGTCTCCAATCCTTTGCACCTAATCGGCACAAGCGCTTACCCAGTAGAGTCCGGCTTGATTCGCTGCCGACTTTCGAGGAAGCCTTTCCACATTTGCCGTGCTTGGGCTTGGCGTGTCTTGGACGAGTTCTTCGAGCAGGGCGACGAGGAGAACGGCGATCACAATTGCTGTTGGTAGTTGCATCGGGCTGTTTGCAGGAGAGCAAGCTTGGAATCCCGATTGGGATGTTAAACGACAGGGAGAAGGCGCACAATAGTGGCAAGTTCGTGCCTGATTCACAAGAACATAGCTTGAGCTCCAGGTGAACCGACCTGGTTCACAGCATGGTTTCATCAACTTTCTGGTGGCTCCTTTCGTCGCAGCGAGCGCTTCTAAGCAGCAACACTTTACACACACTTTACAGTCCGCCTGAATGTTCATGTCCTGCTGGGCGACACACAGGTGAGAGTTTTTCCTGGCCTCCATCCTCTGCACGCACAAATGGTAAAGAACGTGGAGGCACCACCCTCGCTCGGATCGCTCCGGGGATTGAAATTTCGCACCCGTGCCAGGAGTGGCGGAACCTCTGGATAAAGGTCCGGATCGCAGCGAACTTGAAGCTTTGCTTCGTGCTCAAGCGCAGGATGCCAAGCCGGGCGAGGAAGATATCGCCAAGAAGGATGCAGATGTTTGGATCATAGCACTTGACTTGCAGCAGAAGGCTTCCGGTTGAGGTGGCTGCGTAGCTGGTCGGCCAAGGTGAGTCGTTTGAAGGCACTCGATGCCGAGTTAACGTCGCGAAACAGAGCACTTGGCGCTCCAAAGATGACGCCTCGTGTCGCGTAATGGCCGGGAAGCTCAGCAATCACAAGGCCAGGCTCTGACGACGAGTGCTAAGCTCAGGCACAAAAGCTTCTACATGTGAGGGCATCCCGTTCAGCGGCATGCCTTACAGGGAGACGGGAAGCAGCTTTCAAGATTGCACGCACCTCAAGCGGATAGATTCTTGGAGCGCGTGCCGATTGTTGGCACACTTAGTGCATTGGTTTAGCTTTCCTTCAACAATGGACATGCTCCGAGAAACTTTCGTAACTGTCGCAGCGCCGGAGCTCGCAGAACAAGTGGACCCTGCAGCATACCTGCAAGGTCTGTCGCGCATAGGTGTCCTCAGTCGCACTCCTTGGTACAAGCCATGTGCGTGATGCCACTGGCCAGAGACACGTGCGTGGAATTTGGAAAAAAGTGTGGCAAGCATCGGTTGTGCCATGGTTGTGATGCACGGCTCCCCCTTTTTTTCTTCACTGCGCAGTTGCAGCTTCTAACTTCTAAGCGGTCAGACATGAAGGGGTAGTCGGGCTTATGTCCCTGCTCCGCATCGGCATCTTCGTGTAGAGATTTGGTCGAGGAGCCATGTTGCGGTGGCTTGCATGCACGCAGGAATGTGAGGCCCACTGCAATGCCTTGGGATCGGTTGTGCTGTTGAAGTTCGGGGCTTTTCTCATCTCAGGCTTCGCCTCCTGCTCTTCTTGCTCTTCTTCGGTCAGGAAAAGGCGGAGCAGGCTGAGTTCCTCGAGAAGGAGAAGACCGAAGAGCTGCAAAGTCGCGTTGCGACGCTGGAAAAGGAGATCTCCTTCTTGAACCGGATCTCAGAACTCGAAGCCGAGATGCAGGTCTTGCGCAAGCAGCTGGCGGACTGCGAGCGATCGTGGGACACGTCCTCTAAAGCTGCAAACACAGGGACCTCATCTGAATACACTGTGTTCAGTGTTGCGGCCGCTTTGACCAACGACCTGGCCAGTGCACTGTTGCCGATGGTGTTGGGCATCCTAGCTTACGTTTCTGCGACCACTGGCTTCGCTCGTGATGAGAAGCTGAAGAAAGCTCGCCACGGCTGCAGCTCGACAGATGGAGAGCCCTTTGCTGCACATGCTTTGAGCAGCTCCTCCGGGAAGAAAGTCCAACCGAAGCGCCGGGGAGGCGATTCACCTACGACGAAGTCGCTGATGGCTAGGGAAGAAGATGAAACAAGGGAGGCTATTGGAACGTTGCCTGATCCGGATCCTCCGGATCCTTGTTGCCATGACGTTCCTGATGTTCCTTGCCAGAACGTCTCCAAGGAGGAAGTTCCTGCGGCAAGTCCACTGCCGGAGTCGGATGAGCCCTCACCATCAGAGCAAGCAGAAGACGTGAGATGCTACCTCAGTCTCAGTGAGGTTCCTCCTGGGCTTCCACCTCCGTTTCGCCCACCTCCCGGGCTAACAAGGGTGGAGCCGCTGCCAGTGTTTCAACTGGACTTGAACAGGGCGCAGGGTGCGGCAGATGCTGTGGTGGTCGATGGCGATATCTACCCGCCCGACGCCCTTCTCAACATGGCGCCCGGGCTCGACAGCCTGCAGAGCCTGCAGGGCTTGCAGGGCTTGGAGGAAGGTGAGGACGAGGAGGACGTGAACGGGGAAACAGCTGCCTGTCACGAGGATCCTCCGCAGGATGGCCCTGAGCAGCCGCAAATCACACCAAATGCCCACGAAGATGAAGTCTGGCCGGAAGCTGAGGATGACAGAGAGGATGGCGAGGAGGAGGAGGAGGATGAGGAGGAGGAAACAGAGGAGAGATCAGAGCCTGAAGAGCAGGCAACGAAACTCCCCGAAGAACAGGTCGAGGAGAACGATCTCAACCAGCTGGCAGATCACAAGAATCACAATTCCAGCGGGACGAATGGAAACGTAAGCCACAAGAGGCCCAAGAAGAAGCACGGCAGTGCCGAGGCTTGCAAGGACAGAGGACGGCGTGCAAAACAGAAGCGGCCGGAAAGGGATTCAGCAGATCCAAAATCCAAAGCAAAAAAGAGGTCTGCTAGCCCTGATCAGCCTGAGCTGGAGCAACGGAAGTGTCGATCAAACATCGTGCTCATTGCTCTGGCAGTTGCCGTGATAGCTGGTATTGGTTACAAAGCCCCTCTGTCGCACTTCGTAACTGCTGCATTTCAGCACTTCCCTGCCTTGTGACCCAAGTATACTCCCGCCCCAAGTCAGTTCAGTCATGCACGATTTTACTGTTCAAATCAGCGGCCCAGGTGATCGGGGCCTTTCCGGCACGTCAAAGCAACTTCTCGTCCTTCATGGAGGAGTCACTACCGGAGCACTGTACGAACGAAATACCAGGTCATGTCGTAGTGATGGGCCCGGAGTACAAGCTTCCGAAAAAAATTGTGGAAACAAAGCCGAGCATCTCCTTGCATGCACCATGCTTGCTGAAAAGCTTCCAGAAGGTAAGCAAGAAGTACCGGCCGACAGGGAATTGGCATTGGTACAAGACGGGACAAGCTTCTGGAGAGCAGCTGAGCATTCAACATTCCCATGAGCCTCCGATCTTTTCGGCGCGTGCGAGAGATGACAGTGCCGTGGTCACTTTCCTTACGGACAACATCTTTCCAAAGTTTGGCGAATTGAACGACATGAGCTACGAGTGGTATGTGCTTCAACAGGATGCAGGCTCGTTCCGTGAGGTGTTTGTTTTGTTGTGCAAGATGCGCTGCATGATTGCCTGCATGGATGTAAGCTGGGGCTTGCTCTGCCAGGCTTCGTTGCGATGCTGCCAGATCCGGCCGCACATGAGTCCCTGCAGGAGGCTCAGAGACATTGGCGGCCCCTTTTCCAGAAACTGGCCCACACCTTCTACCCAAGATATTTCATGGCCTATGCATCCACCTTTGACGAAAAGTCCCTGGAGTGGATTCGGAAGGACTTCGGTGTAACCTCTTTCCCAGCGGTTGTAGTCTACACAGGACACCCGCAAGACGAACTGCAGATTGTCCAGCAAGACGTCCGGGAAATGACATACGACAATTTAGCACAGCTCATCCAGGATGTGGAGGACGGTTGCATGACGTGGCTGCATCCGATCCTTACTTTTTCCGATTTGAAGCCCATTACGGAGAAGGAGATGCCAACTTGCCAACTGAGATCTTGAAAGGTGTAACGTCCCAACACTTCCAGTACCTTTGCTTTTTAAGCCGCAATTTTAGCCCATTGGGACTAACTCAAGACATAGAGAGGGCTGCCATGCTGCAAGTGCTTGGGCAACAGCTATCGTCGCAGTGACGAGTCAGCGTGTACACTAGCCATTACCTCGCAATAGCTTGGCTCGCATCAAATGAACCAGGGAGGTTCAGATGTGCTGAAGCTAACTCATGGTAGAGTTTCACCAAAGCTGGCATCTGGAAGAGCTGCCTGATCTCCTGTTCTGCATTCTGCATGTGGCATAACAGCTTTGGTGCGTTGACAAGGCTTCATGAGGAGAAGGCATCACCCAGTGCTCGCATACGATGGCTGTGAGTGTACATACAGGCACTCTCTAAGTGTCTAGCTCTTTCAAGTCCAAAGCCGCGCGCTGGCAAATATGGAGACGGTCGTAAAAAATGAGCATTGCACTCGGCCACTGTAGCCAATCGATGGATCTCGGTTGCCCTGCATCAACATAGCCTTCCATAAAGTCTAGAGCGAAACGTCCTTGCACACGTTGGCCTCGAAGGAACCATCATGCCAGCGCCCCTCGTGTCTGGAAATGACACGGCAATTGTCAGCAACGACACCTACCATCCTTAGAATTCGATGTTGTGTTCGGAGCTCGTGACTCCGCACATGGCAAGCTGGGCCGAGTTCTGAGCCTTTAGAAGGCAGGGCCCGCAACGATTTGTGGGAGCTGGCGCACTGCTAAAGGCATGCCTGAGGACTGTGGCGCACTGCTGCCACAGGCCCGCTTTTGCCTTGCGAAGACAAGATTTTTTGTGTTTGCGAAAGGCGCCCTATGCTGGCAAATGGGTTCCGTTGATCACGTGTCCAAAGGCCTTAATCTGTTTCTTATCTCAGGCGGTCAGGCCCAACAGCCGGACGATGGAGCGTCTTTTCTGTCAGGTCACGGTTGACTTTGCTTGCAAATTCGCTGGCGTCGCAGCCTCGTCTGACAAGTCAGTGTTCCCGCACTTTTGCTACCCTCCTTGGCAAAGGTTGGTCCGGATGACGTGGCATGCGATCTGGGCTGTGGATTGGGTGGTTGGTGCATCGCAGCCGCAGAGCTGCAGCCCGAGGACACAGTGGTTTTCGGTTGCTGAAGCTTTGCGGAATTCAGGTGCGGAGCGAAAGCAATTGGCCTTGACATCAATCCGGACAACCTGAAGCCCCACACCTGCGGCTGCAGCTACGGTTGCCACAGCCTCGCCTGCATTCTCTAGGCAGGCGCGGGCAAGCGCCGAGCACGCAGGCCAGGAGCTCAGACATGAGAGGGTCTCTTCTGAAGAATTGGAACGGCTGCTTTTTCCACAGCGCTCAGGCACAGCTCTGCCCAAGCCCCCAAGCATACCTCTGCGAAAAGCCTCAAGCGGAGCTTTCCACAAGCTCCAAGCGTCACTCTGCCCAGGCGTCGGAGATTTGCAGGGCGCTTGGGGTAGAATGTGTTCGGCCAAATCATGGCAGGACCCGTGTTCCATCATCAAGCTTGACCAGTCCCAGGTGTACATTTCGGGAGTGTGATTTCACATCGCCCAGCTTCTCACTGCCACGGCCTTGCTAATTCTTGATGGGCTGACGTGAGCTGCAGAAAAGCTGCACTCGGAGATTCCACGTGCAACCAGGCCTGAGGATGTCACGGTGTTGTTCGTGTACCTGCTCCCGTGGGCGCGAGAATCCCAAAGACTGCACAACATTGTCCCTCGTGTCGAGACGAAGAAGCGAATCGCTGCCGAGGTTGGAGTTTTTGGAGGGCGTATTCTTGCAAGCTATGCGACGCGGTTGCCGCTTGGCCCTGGGCTTAAAGCACGCAGAACCGCGGCAGCCCAGCGTTGCGAGAGTCGACGTCAGGTGTCTTTTCAATTCCACCCTGCCAACTTTGAACCTGTCGAAGTGTCACTGTTCGGTGGACTCAAGATGTATAGGTCTGGCCCTTGACGGGTGAGTGGGAGTTCACAGGAGACTGAAGCCAGCATGCGAGGCAGCAGAATATGGGCGACATGTGCCAAGGCGAGTTAGCCACGGTTTTGTAGCGGCTTAGTGGCTTGGTGCTTCCGATGAACTCTCTTGTAAGCCTGGTACAACACTCTGAGCACAGGTGCAGAAGCTCAAGGCCCAGATAAGGCGCGTTGGGAATTTTCCAGTTCTTCTCACTCCCGATCGAGTTGCGCCACAGGATTGTGAATCCTTCTTGCACTCCATGGACTGAGCCGGTTTGCTCAACTTGCTCGATTCCCGGCCCTAGATGCGCCGTGAGGTTCTCCAACTCCAGCTCAGGAGGATAGAGAACTCATGCTCGTGGGGTGGGAACACCAAGGTGGCAGCAAGCCAGGCTGCACACCGGACGTGCTGCAGATGCGGATTCTAACATGCTTCTGCCCATTGAGGAAGCTTCATGCATTGAATTCTGATCTTCTCGGCTACAAACGAGTAGTGGTAGGAACAACTTAATTGGACACGTTCAAAGTGGGCAAACGGCCATTCATGAGACAACATAGAGACAAGACGACAGATTGCCAGACCAACCTGCAGCAGCCTAGCGAGCAAGCGCAACCACTCCATCGCCATGCCTAGTCCGAATGCTGGAAAAGCTCTCGAAGCATCGGAGGCATACCCGATCATGCGAGCTTGAGGTGTGGCTTGCAAGCATGCAGTCCCGCATAAGTTGCTTTCCGAGGATGGGGAGTCAGCAGACAGTGCATCCGGCGGCAGGACCCTCGAACCCTTCCGCTGGTGTTTTCCATGTCTGGGTTGGGGAGCCTCCTGCTGAGCAATGAGGTGAAGAGGCCGATGGTGGCGAGGGCGAGGGAGGAGAGTCGGAGGTGGATTCGCAAGCCAGCCGATTGCCCAGACTCTGCAAGTATCCATCGGTTCATGTCTCTGTGATACATCGCTGTGCGACCTGTCGAGATGATGCACACTGCGTGGGAAGCAGCCCGAGGCGATCCGGTGGCAACGGACAGTGAGGACGGCGAGGCTGGATTGACAATGTGAAACGGTGGCATTTCTGAGCTTAGTCTCATCGATTTGCCTATTGGCCGGTGTGTTGCTGAGTGTTCTGTCTAGGGTTACCTGCAGCAAGCACATGGACCACAAGTCATCATGCGGCCAGTCCTCAACCAACAACGCAGAAACAGTTTCCGGAAGGTGCAGCAATGGAAAGACAGGGGCGATAAGGGACAACATACAAACTACACCCAACGAACATACTTGGCGCAAGCTTTTGCATCCCTTTCCGAGGCCATGCCAGAGCGAAACATCCAGGAGCGTCGTGGCCCAAGAAACTGCTAGGTCATTATTGTACAGCCGCAAGACCACAAGACGAGAGGCCCCACGAGGCAGACGCGAGGCCAGCGGTTCACCATTCTGGATGGCAAGGATCGAAGGGACGACGAGGCCGCCGGCCGTCTTAGCAGCAGACTTGGACTCTGTTGGCATCTTGCGGCTGAGGATTTCTGGGCCAATGAAGGCTTTCGTGATGCATCGTCCGACAGTGAGTTCAATGCGCAGGAGGAAACAAGGGCTAAGCTCGCAGGACAACGCGAGGGTGTTCAATGGAGCTTGTGCAGGAGTCCGATGATACGCAAGAAACCGACTTCAGCCAAGCACAAGATGATGCCAGCGCAGAGGAAAAGGCCTGTCATTGTTTTGTCAGCAGTTCAGGCCGCAGTGACCCTGGATATGCCAGGAGCCCCCAAAAGAGCCTTCGGCCGGACCTTGTTGTCTGTTGCACGAAGAGTCGGAAACGTGATGGTGGTCAGGTGCGGACCAGGAAGAAGCCAGTGCTTCCCCCGAGCAGGTGGGAGTTTCAACCTAGGACCTAGGAGCTCACAGAAGAAGGATGAGCCGAAGTGCAAAGAAAAGAGTGGGCAACAGTGGCCCATCTCGCACCACACGAACATAGCTTTTCTGTCCTCTTGCAACAGCGAACCTCGCCACTCTCCCGAACCTTGCGATCGATCAACCGTGGATCGCCTCCTCCACCATGCCACTCCAGACAAGCACGAGCTATACGAAAAGCGGAAGTTGTCCTGCACCAAGGATTTCACAAGTGCCTGATGAACTTAAGAAACTAGGCTATTCGTGCTTGCACGGGCTTCTTCAAGCCGGCAGGCACATCTTCCATCATTGGCTGGAGAGTAGGATGAGGGATATCAAGGAATCAGGCTCTCAGCACAGGGCAATACTGCTCCAGTCACTCTTCTTGACTGCTCGCGCACGATGTGCCACAGCCCGTTGTGCTTCGCAGACCTCCGGCCCCGTCTGTTTCTGGACCACCAGGCAAAGTTTGATTGGCACCTTCGCATGTTACATGTTGGTTGGATTGTGGCATCTAGAAGTACTGGCGCAAGGATCTTCTGAAGGGACTGCGCCAGCGAGGCGTCGACTGGTTTGGAAGTAGTGCATCAAAGTGCACTTTGCATATTGCAGCCCAGGCGCGTCAGGCGACGAATTCCGCAGCTGCTGCTGCGATCGAACAGGCTTGGAAACCATGAGCATCGGCACAGAGCGCGACGGCTCACACTCGCGGAAAGGATTCTTCGCAAATCAACGATGGAGATACGAGCTCACAGAGAGCTCAAGGCAATTTACGTTCGACTCCCACTACCTGGCCTGCAGATCATTCGGGTTTGTGTGTAGGCTGGCCAAGCACGTCCAAAGAGACAGAGCCTTCAGGCAGGATCACTTGCCGTTCGTACTGACCCTTGGCAGAGACGGTGCCAGCTGCTAGCTGCTCCTTGCCCCACCACCGCCAGCATCATCACTGTAATAGCTAGCACGTGAAATAGTAGTATAGCACTTACTGGCTATTGGCCATTGTTAAGGAAGCAGGAGTGACCTACGATGTGAATGATGCCGTAGTGTTCCCTTTGTGACAGGTCCGAGGTTCATCTATTCGTGCTGAGAGTAGTTGCATGTGCAGAACTGTTCCGAACTAGACATCGAGTTGGCGCGACACCTCACTCAAGCACCATGCAGTGGGGGCTACTGCACCACTCTATCCGGCACTTGCGGTTTCCTTGTATCTTGGTCAGCCGGTCCACCCATTGCAAGTTCAGGAATTCAATAGCCAGGCGCAGAAAAACTTACAAAACAAGTTTAATTGAATGTCAAAACGCCCCGCACATGATGCCAAAACTGACCCGTCTAACAGTCTAACATGATGGGGAAAGGTGTCATAAACAGTTATTCCGGGATGTCACCCCACGGAATGCTGATGTCCTTAGCTCATGTTTTCAAGAGGGGTGGGGGGCGGGGAATCCTGAAGAATATCCGAAAGCCATCATCTTGCGACCTGGGTCCGGATTGGGCCCGGGTTGCTTTGGGTTGTCGGGTTGGGAGTGGTTATTTTCCATTTGTTTCTCGCGCTTTTGGTTTTTGAATGCCAGCTGTATATTGCTTCGAAGTTTTTCCAAGTACGTAAAGACTTGGGCCTCCCCCCCCCCCCTGGCGCCCCCACACCCCCCGAGCTCCCGGTAGCCGCCCTCCTCACTCCTCTGCCCTGCACCCACCCACCCCAAAGAAAAGCCACGAAAAATCTGCGCCCTTAAAGAGCCGGGCTTAGGGGAGGGTTTCTGGGTTTGGGGTTGGTGTTTCTTTGTTTGGGGTTTCTGGGCCTGGGATTTCTGGCTTTGGGGTTTGAGGGGGTTTCTGTTCAGGCCCAAAGCTCCGACCCCAAGTGCCCCGAACCGACGCCCGCACCACACCAAACTGGGAAACTCTCCACCCAAGCACCGCAAGCAAAGCTGATGTCGTGACCCCCCTTTGGCGGACAAGTGTAAAGAGTTTTTGATATGTATTGTTCTTTTTCTCGTCCCACTTTTTCGGGCCCCTGAAAGGACCAGGATACTTCCGGACCCAGGTTGCGGACCCGGGTTGCCGGAAATTATTCCGAACGTCCCCCCCGCTCCGGAGTGCTTAACTAATCTTCTCCGACCCCCCCCCCATTGCCAATTGCCCCCAGGACACCCCCCATCAAACATGCGTTTCAGGAAGGCATCAACCGAGATAAATCTACTCGTCGGATTTGACATGGCATTTTGCAGCTATCCAAACCTTGTGGTCAACCACGTACCCTCGATACCACACACAGTGCCGGAGACAAGTGTGAGGAAACACCATTCCAAGTCGTGCAGAATCCGTTTGGCGCCCACCTAGGAAATTTCAGTTTATGCCATTCAGCAGTGCTTAAGATCCGTTTCTGACAATCAATCACATTGATTCCGTGGCGGGGGACAATCAGAGGTGCACCAGCCGCTCAGGCCTGCACGTCTTGCGTTTCCGCACCGGTGCAAGAAAAAGCGAGTTCGACCAAGAAGAAATGCTAGGCTTTCCAGGGGCAAACGTGTCAGCCAAAGCCTTCCCAGTGCTGTCACAAGATAACAGGTACATGCTGTGCGGGGTCATTGTTCGCAAGAGTTTCGGGCAATGGGCCTGTGGGTCGACTGCGGCGTCAGGAGGGGAGGCGAGAGCAGTCCGACATACCGAGCAATACCAGCAACTGTCGAAGCAAAGTTTGCATGCCAGGTGCAGCAGACATTCAAAATTCAAAGCTGCCAGCACATGCCGACATGAAGTGGGTTCGCCTGTTGGAGCGAAGAGAGCTTACACCCGTTCGATGCTGCCACGGAAGTGACGGATGCCGCTGAATCTGCTTGTGCGCTCCTGACGTACGGAGCCAAAAAGCCAGATGAAAGCCGCAAACTTGACCAACTTACGAAGTTACGAAGTACATTCGATTCAATGCAGACAAGGAGCCTTGCCCATTATAGCATCGCTCAGATGTTGCATGCGTAGCTTTGCTGCTCAATTTCCGGGCGGTCGAAGTCGATACAGACTGACCTTCGTTGCAGGCCAAGCCTGAAGCAAAACCGCTGCAGCCTCAGAGCAGCCTTTTGAAAAGGAACGGTGAGACTCTCGATTCTCGGAGAAAGGCTGACCCAGGAGGAGAGGCTCCAAGAGGCCGTTCGGACCGAGGCCCGGAAAATTTGGGTCTTAGGCTTCACAGGCTCGAGTCCTGTGCTTGGGAAGGAAAGGAACCGAAAGCAGTTCCATGAGTTGCAAAGTACCGGCCTCACTTCCGCATATCGGCACAAGCCACAAAATGACCGCTAACCTGGTCCCACCTTCGCTTCGAGGCGAGGAAGATGAGAAAAGGCGCTCGTCGAAGCGAGCCAGAAGGCGAGAAAGTGGGCCGCAGCCATGGGGTGCGGAAGCGCCTGGCTCGCGCCAGGACAAAGTTTGCCGGACCACGGCTTCGCTTTGTTTCGAGGCGCAGGGTGGAGAAGCGGGAGAGCTCGGAGAGCTCCAGTAACTCCAGTATTCGATCAGGCTTTCCGACAGCCAAGACATGGCCAGGGATGCCTGGAGCCTACAAGCAGCCAAGAAAGCCTTGGTGATGCCTGCTCCTCTGAGCTGAAGCTGTGATCCAGGCTATCGGGGCGCGCCCGGGTGTTGAGAGCTATGTGAAGTCCTGAAACCTCCGAAGGCTTGCTTCGGAGTTCCACGGGCATCCTTTTGAATTCCAAGGTCGAACTGATCGATTGCGATGTGTCCGACTTCCTCAGGTTGCCCAGCACGCAAGAGGCTCACTGGCAACGCACGCTTCCTTATTTCGTCTCTCGGCCGTGTGTTGCAGAGGCCAAGCAAAGTCTATGGCTCGACTTGGTGGGAGGTGAAGACGGCAGAAGTTTGCAAAAAAAATCGCTGCACGCTCGCTGACATGCCCTCTCTGCCGTTTGTCCTTGGTTTTTGACTGGAGGACCGTCGCAGCTTGCGGAGGCTCAAGCTGGGCCTGGGGCAATGGACAGAGCCTTTGAGGGAACGTGCTCTTTCTGGGCACGTGATGTGTAAAGCAAATGACCCTTTGGCCTCGGACTTGGAGTCTGATAGCTCCAAAAGCTGTCATCACCTGACCTCGAGTAAATGAACCAAGGCCGTTCCAGCATGTGGTGTGCCATTCTATTGCTTATGACAGACTTTTCGTTGCACCCAGATGCTCCACGGCCAACCCGGCTCGGTTACCATGCAAGCACTCTTTTGGCGTTGAGAGCTCTGAACTCAACTTGGCACTGCCAGGCTTACTGCTTATGGGTCCTCGCTGTTATCGCTTTGGTGGTTGTGCCTTTATTCGCAACATTCGCAGCCGACAACGTATGGGTTAAGGACTGCATTTTCATTTGGGTACAAAGCTTGTTCCATATCTTGCTAATAGCGTGATGCGGACCAACGCTTCATGCCACGACTGACCTAGTTTCAGAGTGAATGGCAGTTTTCAATTATTCAGGCGAAGCAGGGAAAGGGCTGTCGGTGCTTGTGTCTATCCGAATTGACAAATGTACATACAGAGGAGATGGGTAAAGGTACGCTTGTGCGCGCGCGCGCGTGTGTGTGTGTGTAGGGTTATTTGTTAGTTTTTGTTTGTGTGTTTAGTTGTCTGTTTGTTTTCAACTGCACTCCTGTGCATTTGTGCCGCATAGCAAACAAGAGATGCAGAGTGAGTTTCTCGAGGTTTCTCAACGAACAAGACCGGCTCAGTCGCGGCGCTCCTGGTTGTATCATGCTAAGCTGCCCGCTCCATCCCCCGTTGCAGGAAAGCTTCTACAGGGTTCAGCCTGTGGTGACCTTCGCGAACGAGCTCTATGTCTTGATTGGTGGCGACACCACAGAAACTATGGTCGGATGGAGTACCTCGGCAAAAATGTGCTAGCCTTTCGGGTCTCTCTTGTGATTTGCGCAGGTACCCAGCCGCAGCTCCAAGTATTGCTCCCGAAGCAGGCAGCAGCAATTCATGAAACTGGGCTTTCGTTGGCAAAGACACGCTCGCAGGTGAAAGTGCCAACCGTGCGTTCAAGCACAGAGGATACCAACCGTGACGGCATTGCCGACACTTTGCAGCTGTCGCTGGACGGGTGGTTTGCATCCGTTTTCACGTTGAGCTGAAGCCAGCCGGGGTTTCGATATGTGATGCGAGAGGATTTTCCATCAGAAGGGAAAACCTACCGCAGCGTCCTCCTGTTGGCGGTCTATGACGTGCAGATTCAGGGCAAGGTGGTGCACCGATAGACGTACATTGTTGCTTTGGTGTTGGGTGCCTGCAGCTTTCATGAAGGTGGCAGAGCAGCTCAGCAGCCTCGTGGCGCTGGACATCTCCAGCACTTGCCTGTCTCCGGATTCAGCCAGCTCTGAATCTCGTTGGATGCTCCCGAGGTCCGTACGGATCCTCGGGGCTCTGGGTTCATGGCCAGCTTTCATTCAGGCAGTGGGGGCCAGACACGATTCGAGAGAATGCTACACATATGACACAGCTCCTCAACCTGGAAGCAATCCTGAAACAGTGGAGGCAGAAGCTGCCTTTATACCAGAGCCCTGAGGCCGCTGCGTGCTTGTTCCTTGGCCGTGACACTGCTGCTGCACAATTTGAGGCGCGCCAGGTGTATGCGGGCAGCCCGCTGGACGTGAACTGGAGGCTCATAATGTAGTTTGATGGGTTTGTTTGCCATTTCAGAAAGAAAGCAGCCTTTAGATATTCATGTCTTCCCAGGTCCAATTGGATTCCGGACAAGCAGCCGTTGTCGCTGGAAGAGCTTCTGTCCCGCTATGCACAGAGGTGGGTCTGGCGGAAGCATGCGGAGCTTCGGAGGTTGTGTAGTTGAGCTTATCACAAGTAGCGCAGCCGTGGCACACCCTTCATGCATTTCATGCTGCCAGTTCCGTGTTTATCCCGATGCTGCCATGAGATGCTTCGCGTGACCTCAGCCATGCAGCTCTTGAAGTCGGCTAAGTGCTGGCCGATGCTTAGCACGTGACTTTTGGCCATGGCCCATGCGATCAGGACGTTTATGTAAGCTCTTCCTTTGGCCACCTGCGTCACCTCCGGGGGGTGATGGCCTTTTCGACACCTTGGGACATGAAGAGGCTTCGGCAGACCAGACATTGAAGCAGGCAGAGCGACTGTTGGAAGCCGAGGACTTTCAGGCAGGCCGATGAATTGAACAGGTCGTTTCATTTGACAGTTGGGGTGTGACTGGGCCAGTGAGGGGGCTGCCGACCGGGTCAGGGTCAGGAGCCGCGCTTCATCTACCCGATCCCTTCATTCGAACAGGTCATGCACCAATCAATTATATCTTCGTAACAACAGATGCCGAAAGCAGTGTCCCAGACAACTCGGAAAGGATGCCTCGAACAGACGGTGCCGACCCCGACTACGGGGTAACATAGCTAGTATCCCCGACACGTTGCAACCCTGCGCCAGGGATGTGAAGAATGTCTGCTTGCAAAACAAGCTGACGGAAGCGATGCGCTGCGAAGTCCTTATGCTTGGCGGCTTCTGCTTCACAGCTATCGGTTTCAACACAAACATAGCTGGGCCAGAAAGCTGGCAGAAGAGCAGTTGGCAAAGCCCACGAAGGCAACGCAGCACCCGATTGGGAAGGCAATGATGCAACTCAGCTTAGCCGAGCTTGAGCTCGCAGACAAGAAGCAGGATCGCGCCGCTCAGTTGGCCAAAGAAGCCCTGGCGGTGTTTTCAGAGTTGGACATGCCGTCCTACGAAGCGTTCTGCTTGCTGGCCTTGGCTGGCGCGGCCAGTGCGAATGAGAAGTACAGGGATGCAGCAGAGTTTGCCGAGGACGCCTTGGAAGGCTTTCAACAGGAAGATGACGAAAGCCAAAGCGCCCGTGGACTGGGAAGGGCCTTGCTGGCTTTGGCAGAGGCCGAGCAGGCTCTGCAGGACTTCGGGGCTGCAGACCGTTCGATCGAGAAAGCCCTGGAAATCTTCAAGTTCGGCAAAGATGAGAAATGGCAGGCCAAGTGTCTTGTTTTCGAAAGTTCATGAGGGTTGGGATGGAGGAGGGGCAGAGATGTTAAATACAAAAGACGTCTGTGTATTGTGCCGGGTCTACACTTTCATGCATGTGGCAAGGTTCCCAGAGCAAGTCGCGAGGATTACATTCAGGGTTGACCCGAGCCGCAGAATGAAATCACCGCTGCAAGGCATTCGTTCTTCAGATAAGGGCCGGCTGGTCCTACAACCAGGACCTCGGCCCTTCGTTGTCGCCACAGATGCGACGTCTCGGGACTCTCAGCTTGCAAAAGCCAACGAGGACGACCCTTTCCGTGCAGCAACGTCGGCAGAGGCACATGAGTCACTGTGAAGAATTCTTCTGAAGTCGTCTTTCGTCCTAATAAACGGATGCAGCCGAGCAGGCTGCCATGCATCTCTGGCAATCCAACGGACATCCATTGTCCAGAGAGGCACGGGCACAGAAGCACAGAAGCTTCTCGAAAGTGCCTGGAGCAATGGTCAGGCAGAGCTTGCTGAGATTGCCTGCTCCGCCTTCCTTGTTCTGAACCAGCCGGAGGTGAAACTATTCTGAACCGAAGAATCACAAGGCCTCTCTCTACTGGCGAAAGTCTTGAAGCAGGACGCCATGAAGCCAGTGCGCGCTTGCCTTTATCGGGCCCGGATGATGGGCGACAGGCTGGCCAAGTTGCTGTCGTGTCAGATCGTGCCAGATCGATGCAAGCGCAGGACCATCGAAGGTCACATGCTGTATGTCACAATTCATGTGAACCAGGCCACAGCCCCGGCGAAGCTTTGCAAAGGACTATGAGTGAACCCTGTGCCAGGTCTTGGGAGACATCGAAGGGGCCATTAAAGTGGCTGACAAGTCATGGGAGGTCTTCCATGAACTTGGAAACAGGCCTTATCACTGCCTTTACACACTTGGTGCTAGTGGAACCGGTCAGTATCTGTCCGTCTAATCGCGAGGAAAATGGAACTGGCCGTGCTCCGGGCCAAATGCCATGTCCAGCTCGCAGGATATTCTGCTGCATCGGCTCTTTCGCAGACACCAGCCTTGGCGTGTTTGCAGCAGCCAGGACCCACACCGGACCCGAAGGCCCTCGACACGGCCAAGCAGGCGAGATGGGTGCAGCCTCTCTCATGCTTTGCAATGAATTGGATGTAGGCTGTGGCCTGCGCGGAACAGCTGGATCAGCTAGACTCGCAAAAGGCAGGCTCCTTGCGAAATGCCTCGGGGGAACTCCTGCGCCTTCTCCGCGCTAGGACGAAGAGCTTGGCAATGCGTGGCTGCAAATGTCCCGGTTAAGAAATGCAAGGGACGAATCAATAAATGCCCAAAAGGCTGGGGATCAGGATGCTTACTCCATGGTGCGATGCCTCGCAACTCAGCCAGGCATTGGAGACGGCCATCCAGAGTTTCGAAGCTGCTGGTCAAAGGCATGGGGGGACCGGGCAGCATCAATTCAGTCTTTCACGCTGTTAAAGTCAGGAGACGGGCTGCAGAGGCAGGGCTGGAGCTGGCAGACCTCAGCGCCAAGGTTCAGGACTTCCCGAAAGCATCTGCCGGTTGTGGTGCTAAAAGCGACCGCCTTGCAAGCAACAGACCGACAGGACTATGCAAGTGCTGTTGACATGGCAAGAAAGGCTCTGGTCGAATGCTGATGTGCGGCTCGTGCCCTTTGGCAACCCAAAAAGGTGCAATCGTTGTGTCGCAAGCAGAACGATGTCAAGGCTTGCAGGGAGCTGAAGCTACAAGCAGCAGAACTTGTGGAGAAACATGGCATTGCATGCCTCAGGGCGAAGCATCTGCACTGCTGCTACTCGGAGGGGTACAGGGCCTTGGATTTCTCCACTTCGCTGCCCAAGTGCCGTAAAGGGAAAAGTGATCCGGTGGAAAAGGTGTTTCTTCAGCAGCATGACAACCTGGGGGCTTTGAAAGCCGCAGAAGAAGCGTCGCACACCCAAACAGAAAGGCCCCGACTGTTTGTTTTACAAGACCCAAGAACTTCGAGGTTTGAGCTCTTCCGACAAGTGGGTGATAGAGTTCAAGAAGCCCACGCCCTTTTCCTGGTGAGTCAGGCGGGCGTACCATTGCCAGGGCTTTTGTCAGTCGATCGAACCAAAGCTGTGTAAGGCTGGGCGGCAGCACTGCACAATGTTCAGATCTTATCAGCTAGACTCTAGATGCTACGCACTACTACAAGCTCATGAGCATTTATCTGGAGCCACGATTCAAGGTCCAAAGCAACGGTGGGCAAATATTGGATCTACTTCGGTGCTGCTTTGCAGGCCACGCACAAAGTTCCGCAATCGCTACCATCTCATTGGATTGCAAGCCTCGAAGGCTGCGACAGATGCGATGGCACTTGCTGAGTGGCTAAGCCCCGTCTAGTGACTAGTGTAATTTGCCCCAAAAAAGTGGCGGGGGCCTCTTCTATGAGCTAAGGCATCTTGGCGACATGCTCTTAGCGCACGCTTACGTGGTATTGGCCGAAATCCAGGTCGAACCTGGACTGATGCTGTGCAGCTCCACAAAGTAGAGACGGTATCATTGACCAGCATGCCACGAATCAGTGCGTCCAACAACAACTGCCAGCGAACAGGTCCTCTCGGTACCACTCCGGCGCGATGCGCTGGAGAACGCCCAACAGGTGCCGATGCTTCAAGCATCTTCAGCTGTGGCAGCATGTTGAAAAGTGCAGCTTCGCAGTGAGGCATCTGATCTCTTCAGCCACTTGGGACATGCAGCTGGCACTGCGCACAGTCTGGAACTGCCCGATCCTTTGAGATGGTATTTGTGAGATTTGCATGGTTTGCAGTAACTCCCAAAAAGGCAAGGCTTGGTGTCATATGACATGCAGAATCCTGCTGCAGCCGTCCGTGCCTCGAAAGTGCTACACAGAATCATGATGTCATCGTCAATCGGGGTTCACGACGGCATCTGATCCGCTGTCGACAGGTCGAGGCCTGGGACAAGGCGAAGTTGGTGTATGCCCAGGCGCTGGTGCTTCCAGTCCCTTCTGTGCGGCCTGGAAGAGTCGCAGTGCATGTGCGGACCAGGCCAACGATCCAAAGAGCCGATGCCTCATGTACTTAAACATCCCAAGTCTGAAAGGATCGCAGCGGCATGATTGTCAGCGCCCGGATGTTGTGGCCAGGTGTTCGGCGCTGCCAGGAGTGCATTCTCCAGCTTGAAGCTGGACAAGCATCAGCGACGGCAGCCTTCTCAGTGCACGCCGTCCTTGTGACTTGTCTCCGATTCCTGCTCACGCGCGCAGGCCCAGGAGACCAAAGGGTCGATCGAGGTCAAGCAGGCCAAAACGAAGTCGGGCGACTGGAGCGGAGTAGTGAGATGTGCAGGAAGCGCCGCGGCAGCTGCCACCGCCCATTCTCTCGTTGCCAAAGCGAGAACGCAGGGAAATCAAGGCAAGGAGCCGCAGCAGCATACCGCGCAAGTGGTCCCGGGACCAGGATCCGATGTCATTGCAGGGAGAAGAACGAGTGATGGCGCAACTGGCCAAGATCCTGCAGGCAGCTGTGCCATGCTGAGTCTGATGATGTGCGTCTTGACGTCTTTGTCGTACTCGTACGTCTGGGTGGAGAACGTGTGTATACAGAGCATGTTGTGTAGGCACGACATGATGTCCCAGTCCTACTGCTATTAATAACTTCTGGCAAGACAGCCAACAAGAAAGCAATAGATTGATGTAGGATGACACGAGGACAGGCGGTTTTCTGAATCAGCTCGCCTCTTCCAATTCCAGGACTTGGGCGTGGAGGACGTTGGTGACGACGACGGATTGATGTCGTCGGGATTGACCAGCAGGTGGGGCGGTTGGCTGTCTTGCAATCACCCCATAGGTGTGGAGTTTAGAGCTGTGTTCGACCAGCTCGGGATGTGGGTGCAGTGCAAGTCACAGTTCCCAAAAGCAGATATCCCTCGTTGACTGAGCTGATCTTCCATCAATGCTAAAGGGGGGAAGGTTGCGTCGAGCCACTTTGCTTCTGATCGGGCACAGAACTGATTTTGCTGCTGACGGTGGGGAATTGACAGTTGTTCGCTGCAGGGCGGCCATCCAGCTCAAAGGCGAGATGGAGCAAGCATTCGCAGGAATCCACATCCCCTCCACGGTCGCCTTTGATCACCCCAACCTCAGGCAGGAACAGTACTTGCGAAAATAGACATCGTGACGTGGCGGCGTTGAAAACACTGCTCTTGCCCAGGTCGCTGTCAAACTGGATAGCGGATAGCATTGCGGAGGAAGGGCTTGCAGGATGACGTGAGACGCGAGATTTTGCAGATGGTCATGGTGGAGTAGAGAGTCGGCACTCCGGGCCCACGAACTCTCCCTGCCTGCCACCGCGACACCGAAGAAGTGCCTTCGGTCGTTTCAAGTGGGGCATTGGGACTCGTGGGGCTGGTCCGAGAAAGGATTGAAAAGAAGCACGTTGCTCACAGTCTCTGTCTCTGTGGGCCTGTGCGCTGAATGCTTTGCAGCTAGCAGGAATGAGACGGTGATGTTTGAGCCCCTGGCCCCTGGCCAAGATGACAGAGACTGCGAGATGTCCGTCTACCCGGAGTGGTAGATGAAACTTGTCAAGACTGTCAGGTCCCTCCCATGTGGGACTACACGCCTGCATCTCATGCCTCTCAGAAAGCCTCGTGAACTCCTGAAAAATGTCCCTTCTCCTAGGCCGAGGCAAAGTTTCCGAATCCAGGCTGGAACTTCAGTGCTGCAGCGCTACTTCTGTGATGCTGCAATACCCAGATGACGATGGACGTGCACCCACAGCTGGTCTACTACGTACCTCTGGCCTCAGAGGTACACGGCCCATTCACGGCACCATACAGCACCGATCAGTGCTGCAAGACATCTCACATCCATTCTGGGGAGGGGCTTCCACGGCGGGAGGGCATGAACAACATGCATCATGCGCTTCCGGGTAACGCACTTGAAGCATCCGCGACTACTGTTTGCGAAGGCGTGGTTCAAAGTGTACGCTGTAGGATGGCCCAGCCTGCCCTCTATTTTCCAATTTTCTTCTTGCTTTCCTTTCTGTGGCCACTGCAGCGGCTGACACAGCATTGGCAGAGCTTCTGTAGCTTCGAGGTTTTGAAGCTGGCCTGGGTACAAGTCCTGGCATTCCTGATCCCAACCTGGGTGGTGGTGAAGTGGCTCAAGGCCAAGCTGCTGTTGGAGTCCGTTGCAGGGCCTCGTCCGACGAAGTGAAGATCACCTCTTGCAGCCGTGTTCAAGACAAGACACAAGTTAGTCCAGAGATTTTTTCCACGCTCGCAACAGACGCTAATGCATTTCGGTGTGCAACAATTGCCTAAATTTCTGCAGGCATTGGCCGAGCCTTCGATGCCCTGCCCCATTCCCTACGCCTGCAAGCAAGGCAATAGCCCAACTCTGCAGACACAAAATTATCGACAGATTCCAGACCACGCTTCAGCCGCAATGTCTGGTGATTGACGCCGAAGTCGCTGCAATGATTTGTTGGAGGTGCATTTCGCCACGGCCTTTGAGAACGACTGTAAGAACAGTTCAACTGCGCAAAGCTCATGACTCTGAGATCATGCAAGTCTCCGGGAATCTTTGCCGATGTTTTTGCGGAAACGGTTGGCAAGCTGGGGGCCCAGAGAAGCGATCGACAAACAATTTAACTTGGAGGTTGGCTTGGACTCGGACTGATTGTGATGACTTGACCAGATCTTGGTATGTAAGGTCGAAGCAGAGGATGATCGCCAGTTCGGCCTGGGGCAGAGTATCTTGTGCAGGGCGGTAAAGAATGTGGTGTGCTGCATTGTGCAGCATAACACCACGCGCATGTTGCATAAGGTTCGGTATCAGTTGGACTTGGAGCTATCTCATCTTTGGACTGCCCCGACGATCTGCCAGAGGCGCGGGACTGGGAGTGCGACTGCTGCACACAGCATGACGTAGTATCTTATCATCGGCTCGTGTAATCTGGGCTGATCCAGCACAACAACAGGAAAGAATGTGGGAGAACAGGAAGAAGTCCTTGACAGGTGTCTGGCATGCTGTCATACAGCGCAGAAGAGGCCCCTTTTCACGCGAGGTTTGTTGGGTCATGACTTTGTGTTCTGCTGACAGGAGCTGCCTATGCGACGCCGCCTCAACTCTCTTGTCAATTTCTCCAGCACTGCTCGCGGAATTAGGGGCAAGTCTTGTCCAAAATCGAGGCGGCAAGCCCATCCGCGAGGGCGAACTGTGGCATCTCTCCACAGAGGCCGCAAGGGCTGAGTGCATTGTTGCGAGTGATGTTTGTCAGCTTCAAACGGGCAGGATGTCGTGCGGAAAGTGCATGTATCACTCTTCATAAACGGCTTGTCCGTGTCTTTCGAGACAAAGAAGGTGGGGAAGCTGCAAGAGATATGCGTGCAAATGACGGAGCAACACCGCCAGGTGCTCGTACCGCTTTCACCCTTCACTTTGGCACATGCCTGAGACATCTTTGCCAGAGCGGTTTGGGGCAAAGGCTTGCAGCTTCAAGCTCCTGAGGGCTACAGAAGATAACCAACATCGTTCCAACATGTGACTGGCATCCACGACGGAAGAGAGCGTGCAATGGATAAAATCAGACACGCTCAAATTGGCTTTCCGGTCAGTCGACAGACTATCATTCTCTCAATCTGCACGATTGAACGAGCGCAGGCCCCACCCACAGCAATGCTGTCAGATCGTGGCTGACAAGGCTCCGCAAATTTCAATAGCTCAGAAAATCGCGCCGGACAGAGCTGCTTCAAGTCCAAGCAAGCTGTTGTGCCACTCGGACGGTGAAGGAGGCGGCCGCGACACCGCCCGCATCCGCCCGACTCCACCGATTCCTAGAAAATAAGCAACCTTGCATCCTAACCCTGGTCGCCGAGCTCGGCAGTTCACGAATTGTTCGAAAAAACGCGAAGCCTTCGAGCACCGACAAGATTCGAGACCGTGACAAAGCCGTTCGAAAACACGATAGATGGTGACCGGCCGGGCAAAATTTGGTTCGTGCGCGACTGTTGTCGGAAGACACCGCGAGCCGAGTGGCCACAAGCAGAGGAGCACTCGGCCACCGACCTGTGCTTCGCTTCGGCAGAATTGCGTTGACACGGGAAACTGGGTCCGGTTTCGTCTCTCCCCCTTCCCGGGTCCCGGCAAAATTGGACTGAGGTTCGGAACTGTAAATTCCAGGCTGCTTCCTTTGACATCAAGGCACGGCGGGATGGCAAGATCGATTCGAAGGAGAGCTGCGGCTTCTGGGCCTGCCTGCAGGAATTCGCGGACTTCAAGATCTTTAAGGCACTTGCTTTCGTAGAATTCCTACGGCCTATGGAGTGCTTCGCCACATGGCATGGCATAGAGGTGTTAGCTTGGGGGTCGAGGTGCATCTGCACGCAGCCAACCGATGCTACTTTTTTGGCGTGCGTGGGAGCACTTTACTTGAAGGCGCACCAGGGCAAGGATGTGTCACTCTTTGACCCTGTACACCTGTGTGAAGTGGACCATGGCGCTTTTGAGTTGCATCTTGTTGCCAGGTGAGGAGGTGCGGTCACCAGAGTCCATGCGTGGGGCTTGCGACCGGGGTATTTGTTGAATTTGTTGTGCCAGGAGCGGTCCAACTGGGTTAGCGACATTTCAACGGCAATTCGATTGGTGACCCAATCGCTCTTCCCACCGTTCCGCATTGCGTCGTGGCCTCACTGTGGGTCAGGGTTTGGACGGCTTTTTGGAACTAGCCGCTGGCTTAGCTGTGCTGCAGGTGCAACCCATTGGCGACCGTGGTCACTCAGCGAAGTCTTCGCAGCCCGTGTCTCTGATTGCATTCCTCCGCTGTAGCCTTCTGAGGATGGCACACAGAAGCGACTTCTCGCTGGCTATTTGCTGCACAGTGTCGGGGCCTGTCATGCCAGAACTGTTGTTTGCTTTTTGTTGACACCTCGTCTCACCTCGTTGCATTGATGTCGAAAGCTGTGATTCACCGAGGACAGTCCGTGCCTTGTGTCTGCCCTGTACTGCGAGTTGCAAGCACACCACGACGGCAAGGTGCTGGCTGTTCAAGGAAAGACTTGTGCACTGTGATGGGTTTGGATTGCCAAGACATTCACCTACGAAGGCGATGTTTGTGCTCTACGAGAACGAGAACTGCAAGGTTCCGACACCGCGCTGCTCGCCTATACTACTACGGGAGCATGGACTGGCAAAAGCAAAGGTCCCCGTCAAAGCGATGGCCCTCACAGCAGACTCCGCAGTGGCAGAGAAGGTGCGGAGACTTCGTTGGTACCAAAATCTCTGCGGCCCATGATTTTGCCAGCTTGGCATCAATTGCAGCTGCTTCTCTGCCTGGGGCCTAAAGGAAGATTGTTGGCAAGAGCCAGTGCCATGTGCCGTGACATAGGAATTGGTAGTGTTACTGACACTGTCATGGATTCAAAAAGTGACATTGTAAAGGTTGATCAACGGGACTTCAGCAGCCGGACACTGTCAGAGAGGCTGCACCTGCTGCGATTGTTTGTGTTCGTTCAGTATGTTGCTTCACATATGCAGGAAGCTCTGGCTGCGTGCTATTTCCAATATCAAAGTGAAGCTTGCCAACGCAGTGCTTCCGATAACTTGGCTTTACTGTTTCTGTTACGACGATACACTGGAACTTCTTGTGATGTCGTCCGAGCTGTTTTCCGCTGAGGCTCCAACTCCATCGTCTGAAGACTTAGAGCACTATCGCCAGGCTTTTAAACCCACCTAGCTGGAAAGGCATAGTGTGAGCCCCTGCGGAGGCTGTCAAGGAGCAGTTGCATCAGCATGAGACTTACTGGGAATCGCTTCAGCCTGCAACGGATCTGCGTGACCCACCAATTGGCTACCAAGGATTCGTACCTCTTTGCAGTGCAAGATACGCACGGATGCACTCCTCCCTCCAAGCATTCACAACACTTTTCAGGTGCCGCGGATTCATTCCAGTCCAGACTGCACAAGATCTGCGAACTTGTACCGACCCAGTCGACCGTGTCCCCCTTCAACATGGATCTGTGGGCTGAGATTTCAGGCCCAATTCCAAAGCTCGGCGGCACGGATCTTGGTAGGAAGCTATTTTGAAGAGGTTACCACCACGGCCACGTGGAGGAGGACGAGGGTGAGTCGGTCCACGGGCTTAGTTAACCGGCTTCAGTGGCTTCAAGGCTTCACCTTCGCCATCGAATCTTCGAGATTCTTTTTGAGGTCCCGGCCGAGCGGTCACCTGCCTTGTAAGCGGGCAAGCGGATCTCGCAGATCCTCTACTCCGACTCCTGAATGGAAATTGCCGAGTCGGCACAAGACGTGCTGACGGCGAGGGCGTCCCCAAAGTGGGGCAGTGCTGCGGCATCATGCGCAGTTTCCATGCAGAGAGAGAGAGAGAGTGACACTAGGGGAAGCACACAAGCGATTGTGCTCGTCACGTGCACCTGAACTGGGATGCAGGGTATCGCCTTCGACCGACGACTCGTCGAATCGCCATGACCTCTGTTCAAACGAGAGAATGAAGCTGCAACTGTGCTTGCCTCAGGTTCGTCGTTCCGCAGCTGCCGCCGAAACATTCGTAACTCAGCCTCATGTTGCAAGAATTCACATTGACGCTGATCTTTGGCAGATTAATTCGCACACGCTGCCTGGTGAAGCCGCCTAACTGGCTGATATATGCTAACGCTACATGTCTGTCTCGGGTTTCAGGATTTTTCTCGTGTCTTGATATTGCAGCCTTAATTGGTTGGGGACATTATGATGTGTTTCGATTGAGGAAGACAGGATACAAGTATCATGCTCTATTGGGTTAAAGCAGTATAGGTTGTATGCGACCAGGGCAAGGGTCTGAGCCAGAGCCCGAGAAAACTAAAGCAAAAAAATCGTAAAATTCTTGAGTCTATATTATATTGATTTAATCATGATTACAAAATCATTTACTCTAGATAAAAGAACCATCAAAAAATACATATTTTTCTTATATTGTATCTATCTCCAATATTTATGAAAATATAGTACCCTTTCTCACCCTTACGAAATTAAAGAATAAACTATCACAAGAACAACATTCAAATTACATTATTAACCAGCATGTGTGGATAAATGATTAGGAGCCCTACTGATTTACATAGTACAATGAATTATAGAATTTACTGAATACAAGAATCTAATGTACGCTATTGAATTCTTTCTCAATATATCTTTGAAATTTTGTTCTGATTAACTTTTATTCTTATAGAAAGGATTCTTTAATCTGCTACTCATTGGATAGAATTCGAGCTTTTGAAATATTGTTCTCTAAACAACACGCTGTCGAGCTGGTCGCTTCCGTTTTGTTGAACCTTATTGGATTCGTCTGTCGTGCCGCAGTTTTCCAGCTCCGGTCTCATTGTTGCAAGCACGATTATCCTGCTGTTTTCAGATATTACTATCGGTCTGTGTGTTTGTTTGTCTGTGTGTCTGTCTGTCTGTGTGTCTCTGTCTGTCTGTCCGTCTGTTTGTCTGTCTGTCTGTGTCTGTTTGTTTGTGTCCGTCTGTCTGTGTCTGTCGGTCTGTCTGTTTGTCTGAATGTCTGTCTCTCTCTGTCTGTCTCTCTGTCTGTCTGTCTGTCTCTGTTGTGTCTGTCTGTCTGTTGTCTGTGTTTGTGTCTCTCTGTCTGTGTGTGTCTGTCTGTCTGTCTGTCTGTCTGTCTGTCTGTGTGCATATATATATATATAGATATACATGTGTGTGTTTGTGCGTCTGTGTGGGTATGATTTTTTGCTTGTGTCTATATCTGCTTGTGTTTATGTGTGTCTCGCTGCTTATTTATGTGGGCTTGTATATGCTGGAGAGGTGTCTGTGTGTGAGTGTGTCCGCCTGTCTGTGTCTGTCTGTTTGTGTTTGTCTGTTTGTTTGTGTCTTTGTCTGTGTCTGTTTGTTTGTCTGTGTCTGTCGGTCTGTTTGTCTCTGTCTATCTGGCTGTTGGTCTGTTTGTCTCTGCTCGTCTCTGTCTATTTATTTGTATTTGCATCTCTCTATTTCTGAGTATTTGTCTGTCTATTTATATATACTCAAATTATAAAATGATTTGCAGTCTCTTTTACATTTAGATATAAAAAGATAAATTTTATCTATAATAATAGATGGCGATATATTTTTATCTATTCTTTCTACGACACTTTTTACGATATACTATTGGAAAATAGGAAAAATATTATTAATATATTTTTTTAAAGAATACATGAAAATGGAAAAATTATAAAAAGAAAAAATAAATGAATTGTTTCTTCGTATAATATACGTAAATAAAGGTTTCGATAATTTTCTAAATAAAAGAGAATGATAATAAAATATCGATATTAATTCGATGAGATTAAATTTATGAATTTTCGATTTATTATTAGAATGAAAAATTTAATGAAAGACTATAATTTTTCACTTAAGAAATAGGAAAGATATATATTAAAAATGGAATTTAGTGAATATAGAAATCGATAATAAAAAAAGGCTTTATAATTTAGATATTCTGAGATATAATTTAATATTTTCGTTTTCGATTAGAATGGTATTGGGTTGGTCGCCTCCCTTTTTTTTGTGTGTGCGCATTCTCGGCCCTTGGAACTTCGTATTTTGGCGTGTTTCTTTTTGAAAGCCGCTTGTGTATTTTTCTCGCGGAACTAAAATGTCGGAAATTTTATTATCGATAGTAATTTTTCTCGGTACTAAAATTTCCGAAATTTTGGTAGTTTTAAGAAATCTCACGATATTAAAATTTCGAAAATTTTGGTAGCTCGAGGGCGATATACTCCCGGTAATAAAATTTTAGAAATGTTCGGTAGATATTTTCGCGGTATAAAATTTCCGAAATTTTGGAGATATGTTTGCTATAATATAATCTCCGAAAATTTAGTACCGGGAACATGTCTTAAATTAGGCTTTGAGGGCCGATTTTAGGGCCGCTCGAAAATAATTATTTGTCTGTCTCTCTCTCTTTATTTGTCTATTTATTTCTCTGTCTATTAGGGTCGCTCGAAAAGTATTCTTTGTTTGTCTCTCTATCTTGCCTGATTATCTTGTCTTGTTTTGTGCGTTTGTCTCTCTCTTTGTCTCTCTCTGTCTTTTTCTGTCTCTCTCTGTCTGTCTGTTTTTGTTTGTCCGTCTCTGTCTATTTCTGTTTGTCTCCGTCTGTTTGTCTGTCTCTGTCTGTCTGTCTGTTTGTATTTGATGGTATATATATTTATCTGGTCTCTGTTTAAATCTCGATAAACTTTAAATTTAATTATGGCGAAAATTTATAATATCGTTTTGAGAATATTAAGAATTATATATTGTTTATAGATATTATCGCTTAGAGAAAAAAGAGTATAATTGAACGATTGATTTAAGAAGATATTCGGAAAAAAATCTGTAAAATTTTCTGGTTTTCGCCAGAGTAAATTAGCACACCCATGGAAGGGATGGTATAGATATGTTGGCTTGCCGCTATTATTATGATAATATAGCGTAAATTATTAATAATCATTGTTCTCGAAATATCGAAGAATCTTGGGTCCGATATAAATCGGAAAGAATTAGAATTAATATAGATATATCTCTATTTAAATAAATCTGTCTATTTAAAGCCGTCTATATCTGCCTGTAATTTCTTTTTTCGTTGTTGAAAGCAAAAAAATTCATTGAATATCGAATTATTATTATCTAGGATTTTTTAATTGATATATTCATTAAGATCATGAATTTATGCTAACGGATTATGATGAGAATTTCGATAATATTCTTTAAAATATAGTTCAATAATTTGATTTATATATATTTGAGAATTTTCGACATGAATAATAATTTGTCTATAGTAAATATTAAATATTTTTCGTTGTTATTTCGGCCGAAGTGGTACGGTTCTATAATAAATTTAAAAAAAATTTTCAAATTTCGAGGATTAAGATTGGATTTATAGATATTATAGGTATTGTTATTATTATATTATATCTTTTTTTTACTTCCGGAATTTAACGAAATTTCATTTTCTCTCGAATTTCAGAAAGAATTGGAATCGCGAATTTGTAGAATTAGATTATAGATTTTTTCTATTTCATTTTTTCTAAATTAATATTGAATTCTTATAAGATAAGATTAAAATTCAATATTATTATAGAAGAAAATAAATAAGTCTATAAAATTAAATGAATCTTGTATTGAAATTCATTAGAAATTATTGTACTATTAGAATATCGGAATATCGGAGTTTGCTGGATTTAATTATAGACCTTTCGGCTCATTATATTTACATCTAATATTTCTTTATTATTTTTCGAAAATCTCGCCATTTCTCAAATCTTCGAAATTTTTAATTATCGACCTCAAATCTTCGAAATTTTTTATTATCGAGAAATAACTATTAGAAAAATCGAAAAGAATTAAAATAACTTTTTTTAAATAAAGAATATCCATCTACTTAATTGCATAATATTATTAATAATATATAAATTTTATTCATTAAGAACTAGAAATAGATTTATATAGCTTAAATCACAACGAATTCTTCTATTAATACTAATACGAATAATCGAATTACGAAGTTTCTACATAAAAATAATAAGAAATATATATTTCAATAATATCATTATTTTAAAGATATATTAATATTATAAGACGGAGCCTACGACATATTTTGAAATAATTAACTAAAATAAAATCATAATAACGACTTTGTTATCATCATATCGATACGAAAATTATTTAATATTTTATACATGAAATTCATATCGCATATAAAGAATTTTTCCAATTTCCCATAAAAATAAAATCAAAAATTATTAAATATTACATAGAATTTAATTTAATCAGAAGAATTTCTCAAAATCCGAGATCCCTTAATTAACAATCATAAAAAATCATTATCGAAAATACCAACTCCTACAGATTTCAATAATTCATTTCTTTCAATTTATATATAATATTCGCTTCCGTCCATAAATTTACCATCTACCCTAAAATTCTAAAACGATCCCCCCCATTTCCAAAATATATCAAACTTAAACATTTCTCAATCCAGAAATACAAATATCAAAAAAATATAGCAACAATAAGTTAGAAACATAGAAAATAATATATTATATATGCTATACTATATATATCATGTTATATATACTATATTATATATTTTTCTATACATATTATATTTCATATATTATATTATATATATTATATAATATATAATATATATATATATGTATATATATTATATTATATATTTTATATCGACTAGAAAGATATATTTAATCTACAAATCAAATCTTATTCATAATGGATACACAAAATCTCTAACAAAAAAGAAAAGAGACCTTATTTCCTATAGTATAATTTCGACCTTATTTTTTTCTCTCGATATAATCCCTTAATAATATTTACCGAAACAAACAAAATGCACTAAAGATTCATATCTTAATTATCCAAAAATATCCGAAAAATCTAAACCAACCCTAACGTTACCGAATTATCAGTCCCAACAAGTATCCCCACCCTTGCAAAATACATTACAATCTCAAATATCCGAGATATCCTTGTACGGAGAACATACGCTATTTCTAACTTAGAAATATTTGCACGTACCATGCAGTCGAGTCGCTAACCACTGTCATTTTCAAATGGATTCATAAATTCCAGTATAGTTTCTCCATATCAATTATAAAACCCTCGTCCATCTTATGAGTCATCCGAATCGATTGCTGTCTTTTCCCCTACCGGCTTGATTGCACGGAACCCCTTCAAAAGCGAACTCGTTTTGCGAGCCGCTGCAATCCTTGTGGATTGCCTTGTCAACGGCGCGTCCTTGTCGGACATTCCTGCCTGTGAGGCCACACCTCCATGTACCATGTATATATGCCTACCAGCAACATACATATGTCTATGTCCGTGTCCATGTCTGTCCATGTCCATGTCTGAGTCCATCTGTATATTCCTACTACATGCCTCTCTATGTGTGTAGATGCGTATACATATACAAATGAATGTGTCTCTGTGTTTGTGCCTGTACGTTTGCATATATGCATGTATGCATGTATTCATGTATTTATGTACGACTATGCATGTATGAATGTGTGCATGTGCGCATGTGCGCATGTGTGCATGTTTGTTTGTTTGTTTGCTTGTTTGTTTGTGCGCTTGGTTGGCTGTTTGTTTTACCTGCTTCGTCGGATTGTGTCCTTGGCTTGTGTCTTTGTTTGTTTATGTGTTGTCTTTGTTTGTTAAATTCTTTGTTTATGTGTGTCTTTGTTGCTGTTTTCTCTATGTGTTTCCTTGTTTTGTTTATAGGTCTTTGTTTGTGGCTTGTTTCTTTGTTTGTTTTTGTTTGTTTGTTTGCTTGTGTGGTTGTTTGCTTGTTAGCTTGTGTTTGTTTGCTTCTCTCTTTCTTTCTTTGTGTCTTTGTGGGTGTCGTTGCTTGTTTCTTTGCTTGTTTCTTTTTGTGTTTCCCAATGTGTTTCTCAGTTTGTTTCTTAGTTTGGTTCTCTGTTTGTACATTGCTGTTGTTCTTAGTTTGCTTCATTGTGTGTTTCTTTGTTTGTTTGGAGTGCTTCTTTGTTTCGTTGGTTCTTTGTTGCTTTGTCGTTGTTTGTTTCTTTGCTTGTTTACTTGGTTCTTTGTTTCGTTGTTTGTTTGTGCTTTTTGGTTTGATTATCTTTGTTTGTGTGTTTGTTTCTTTGTTTCTTTGTTTGTTTGTTTGTTTGTGTGCTTGTTTGGTTGGTTGGTTGGTTGCTTGTTTGCTTACGTGCTTTGTTTGTTTGTTTGCTTTTGCTTGTTTGTTTGATTGTTTGTTTTTGTTTGTTTGTTTTTGTTTGTTTTTGTTTGTTTGTTTGTTTGCTTGTTTGTTTGTTTGTTTGTTTGTTTGCGTGCTGTATTTGCTTGTTTGCTTGTTTGTGTGCTGTATTCGCTTGTTTTTTTGCTTGTTTGCTTGTTTGCTTGTGTGCTTGCTTGTTTGTTTGGTTGGCTGTTTGGATCGTCTTTTGGCTGTTCGGTTGGTTGGTCGATCGGTTGGCTGGCCGCTTGCTTGGTTGCTTGCCGGAGCTGTGTGTGTGCTGGCTTGTTTGCTGTTTTGTGACGATCACTAGATGTATGTTTGCCGTTAAATGCACAAACATAACAATATGTTGGTAAACAAACGCGAACATGCATAGACATGACAACTCGAAGCTGCTGCTAGCCTCAAGCAGGCAGGCGCCATCCCTTTGAATGTTCATCGATATGAGGCACAAAGCATGATCTCATCGTGAGACAAGATCCGCTGCCAACCATTGCTACACAAGTCAAATTACCGAGCATCCGAGATGTCTTGCACCGGTCACACTTGCAGACTTTTGTTGCGCGGGGAGTAAGTTCTGCTTCCAGTGTTCAACATCTTATCTGCTGCGAGCTCTACATCTACGCGTCTCCATTTACCATACACTGGAAGCACTGGAGATCATGCAAACACAATCGTCAGTTGATTGCTTCAAGACTCCTTCAACCTGCGTGCGGACAGTTTGATGGGGAGTCTGCTCCACAACTAACCCGCCTCGGCAGAAGGCCGATGAGCTGCGAGAGGCCGGGAAGCTTAGCCTAGTTCAAGAATGGCCGAAAGGGGATACCCATGAAGGGAAGGTGTCTTCTCGATTGAGGTCCTTGTCTCGGGCTCTCTTCCCAGGACGCTCCTGGCGAAAGCATAGACCGAAGATGAAACGCAAGCAGTGTGCTCGTGAATGCACGGTTCTGTTTGAAACTTGCCCTCCACCAAGAAACTGTCTAAGTTGCAAAACTGTTGCTGCCTCTGTCATCGGTGCGGCTCTTTTGCGCTCGTTCCTGGGGCATTCAATTGCTAAATCCGCCCGCCGGCAAAGCATCAACTCTGCAGGCGAATTTGAATTGACTCACTCTCCAGAGTGCTCCCGTCCTGTTCAAATTCTCGGCGCCTTTCTCTGCAACGACCGCTCCAAATGTGCAGGCTGAAGACTCCGCTCGCGTTGAGGCACCGTGTGCCGACTTTGGCGCCTTCAGCGACATCCAGTCAGTGGGTAGACTGGACTCCCAGGCTGGGTCTCGCGATCTCAAGCACCTTGTCGTGGGATGCCTTCCCTGTCGATGCCTGCGCAACAGGAAACGTCACGTCGCATGAAACTAGCTCAAAAGCAACGCAGCACCGTTCTGCCTCTGCTAATCGCTGAGCTGCCGATTGCTTCTTCCTCCCACCATCTCGGGGAGTTATGCATGTTTAGAACTGCAACATGATTTTCTTGTCTCGAATTCACGTGTTACAAGCGTCGGCTATACCGAGTCGCAAATTGTTTTTTGTTTGCGTCAAGCACCCTACTAGCGACTTTGTGAGTCAAGTGCAACCCTGCACATGACCATTCTGCGTGCCACCTCTAAGCAACAAAGACGACAAAATAGATCCTCCTTGGTATACATATATATATATATATGTTTACTTAATTTATTTATTTATACGTGGGTAGGTATTTGCATGTCAATGTGTGCTGCTCCGGCTCCTTATTGCACACCCTCGATGTCTCTGACTCTTCATCCAGAGCCCCCGGATTTGCACCACATCTTGGCAAAGCAAACCGATACTTATGATATTGCCACTGCTTACCACACACATGCATCGAATTATGCTGCTGGGGTGTCATTTTAGAAAACGAGCTGGCTTATCTTGCGTAGAGAGCAAACAAGTTCGGCTCATCGATAACCCAATCATATGCTTCGTTTGCTTCTGTCATGACAAGCAAGCAGAGAGGTCCTCCATCATGCAAGACCTAGGTAAGAAAGCTGCTCGTTCTTGCTGTGCAACAGAGTGAAAAAGGAACACTAATGCTTGAGTTCATGTCTTAAAGTCTTCACCAGAGAGTTCCGTTTATGTGGTTATGATGCGTGATGACCGTCAAGAGGAAGAGTTGCCTTCTCCAAACAAACTCATCTACCAACTCTCGCTTGTAAACCAAGTCGCAGAGACCGTATGTTATGAGGTATGTCTTGACTCAGGTGCAAGAACTTTTCTTAATAGAAGAGTTCTTTCGATATAGGAGAGGAGGCCAGTTTTTTCAGAGGTCGCAAGCTTCCCCTAAACTTCTACTTGATAAGAAACAAGAAGGCATCCTTCTTCTTAGTCAGAGACAAAGAGGACCCTCAAAACAAGAGTCCCTTTCAGAGAAAGAAGTATCAGACGTGGTCAATCGCTTCATATGCACGAAGGGAAACTGTTCTATCCGCACACGGAAGTCAACAGCTTCGGACACACTCAACATAGACTACGAATTACCAAAACAAATGTCAGAATGCTCGTCTGTTTCTTTTGCGAGAGGCAAACGTGCCTTTCCTGAGAGCCCTCCTACTTCGAGAGGCAAGATGAAGCTTGACTATCCTCATCTGACATGCTCTAAGGGTGCTCCCAAATAAAAAGCTGCCCTCATAAGCAACCAGGCTACTGAATGGCAGTCCTACATGGTCTTAACCAGTCTGGAAATGCTTGCTTTTGCTTGAATGTTTTGCTGTAGTCTTGTGTTTTTTGTGCTGTGTGTGACGTGGTTTACTTCTTTACGTTGTTTAGTTTGTTTGCTGTGCTGGTTTTGGTTTGGCTTGCTTGGTGCATTGGCTCGGTCAGTCCAGCAGGCAACACCTTGTCGACATGCAGCCCTACAAACAACACCAAGCCACATGGCGATCCCTTCTGTCAGGACATGCATGCTGTCCTGGGAATGCCATTTGCCGGTGTTGCAGTAGCCACTGACAGCTCTGGCGCTGCTGCTGTCGAAGCTTTTGCTCTCCCTTCATGTCTGGCACATGGAGCCGCGGCATCTTGGCGAGCAAGCCGGTGATGTTGGAGCAGGCTGCTGGTGCCGTCTGGAGCTCCCTTTCTGGTTCCTGAGTCCCGCCACATCCACGGCTAACATGTTGAGGGCACTCGTGGAGCCACATCATGCCAAGGCTCTGCTATCGCTGTCGTCAGGGCGCGGCTTCAACTCATCAACACCCACGGTCTCGAAACGTGGCCAGCGAGAACTGTGCCTCTCGCTGCAAGGGTTACCACGTCAATCTTGCAAGACTCAGTTAGATGGCGCATGCTCACGCCTAGCGCAGTAGACAAAGCGAGCACCAACAGGTTTGATGTGTCCAGCATTGCGGCAGGGAGCACCTGGAGACTGGGGCAAATGGGTCAATTTTAAAGTGAGACCTTCGGACACAGCTTGTGCGCTTGTGCAGCTTGCATCTCCGTCCTAACTCTGCCAAAGCGCCTGCGACGGTCCAGGCATGGCAGGAGCCCACAGCTTGTGTCCGTCGGCGCGACCGCGTCTCCCGGGATTTGAGGCATCTGTCTCCCATATTGGCAGGCAGCATGCCAGGAGGGGGGACCGTGAGACCGACACCTGGCCAAGGCAAGTCTGAAAGCCCTTGCTGCAATCGAAGTAGCCCTCAGCGCCTGCATCAGCCTTCTCAGGATTCTCGCTTCGTTGTTTGGGCCGTGCTTTACACATTGTTTGCCAAAGTGCCGAGAAATTGGGAGCAACTGCGGGTGCGGGGCCACGTTGGCGTCGCAGCAATGAGGGATGAGCGAGAGGTGCTCGCTGAACGGGCTTCAGGGGTTGCAACTGCTCAACCTCCTGGACGAGAGTTGTCTGCACCGTCTGCACATCATTGCTGACCTTTGCTTCTGCAGATTTTGGCTGTGTTTGCAATTTATGCTGTGCTGCTGTAGATTTCGCACCCTTCGGATCAATGCATGGCTCCGGTGGCACTTGGGGTGGCGGAGGGCTCGCATCCTTCGTCTTCGACTTGGTGGCAGGGCGTTTCGCAACAGCGGCAGTGGCCGGAGCGGATTGCACAGGTGCAGGGCGATGCTGCTGCGGGATGCAAAGGCGAGCATCCTGGGTCGGAGTGGGCTGGGGGGCACAGGCAAAGTGAACCAGCAGCGTGTTCAGGAGCTCTCTCTTCTCACCAGTTGAGACCAGACCACGTTGCTCGCAAAGATGCCGAAGCTCCGATGTGTGCAACAACCTAAGGCCTGCGCGAAAGCCCTCGTCTAACGGCTGTGAAGCGCAAAGGTCTACTGGACTTCTCACTCCTGTCTCGGATCCACTGGCCCCACCCTTTGGCGGCCAAGGCCAATCTGGCTGAGCCGCAGGAATCGAGAGCTGTGAGTGCACCAAGTCCAGCTGCTCCGTGACAGGCATTTCCTTCACCTGGACATCCTCTGAAGGCTGCACAAGTAGGCCAGCTCCGCCACCGTCGGCGCTGCCCGCTTCTGCGTCGGCAATTGCAGCATCGAGACCCTGCGAGGGCTCTGGTTCAATCACGTCCTCTGATAAGTCGGCGGTGGGTGCTGCGACAGTTTGCTGTCCCTGCAACTGTTCGGGCTCCTTGCAACAGAATACAGCCACAATCCGTGTACGTGAGTGAAATGAAAGAGCCGACAGCCTCCTCCGGTCCAAGAGGCTCCTGCAAAGGCGTGATGCTGCTTCTGCCTTGTGCCTTCCGCACCGCAGCCTCGCATGCTGCATGCACGGCCAGCCGGGCTGTGAGGTCCGCTGTGTCGCCCGCAGCGTTCAGGCCACAAGCACGGCCTTGCAGACACCAAAACATGTCGGAACACCTCCGGCAATCGACAGGGCGCGGGCAGGCAGCTTGCAAAGCCACCAAGGATAGGCCTTCCATACTGGCAGGAACCTCCGGGCCAAACCACCGCTGGTCCAAACATCAAGGAAAACAAAGCGTCTGCTTCAGAAACCCATGGCACCTCTTCTGCCGAAGGTGTGGGTTGAGTCTCTTGTGACCTCTCTCACCGCAGACAACACCCCCCCCCCCCTTTGACGATGGCACTACGAGGCCGTGACTGGCCAGGCTGGACCTTCACAGAACTGCAGCCAAAAATGGTGATAAGGTGACAGTGCATGCCAGGGTTTGTTTTTGTGCTTCTGCGACACTGCCAGCGTGGAATGGGTGAGTAAGCTACTTCCTGGCAGCCCAATTCAAGAATAGCACTGTTGGGGGTGTTGGGGGGGTGCGGTGCCTGCCCCCCGAAATCATGCACTCTTGCCTGCTGTCACTGAACTTGGTTTGAAGGAGCTTCGGCTTGGCACTTTGAAGGTCTTCGCTTAGGGTTTTGGCCTCGCTTCCATCATCTCCGATCAAGGTATTGGACGTGCCTCCATCTCGGTTCTTGTCAGGGTCCTAAGTACCTATGGAAAGAAGGTAAAAGCGACAAAATGTCAATTTGTCTGTCGTTCGTACTTCGCAGGAAGTGCCTCAAGCAAAGATACGCCCGGCCTTGGTTGTGGCATGCGCATGGCCACTGTGTGCTGGCGTCCACGTGTGTGGAAAGTCAATCGACCGATGCTGCACACTAACGAAGGAGCCGGCGATGCTTGCATGCTCGTGCAAGGTGCGTTCTTGGGCGATAACTCGTGTTCAGGATTCAGAAGAAGCTTAGTCCAAGTCAAAAGAGTTTCGAGCAGATGCGCAAGCGAAATGATACGAACGAAGCGGTGAAGTAAGCAGCCGCTTCGCCTGCGGCGCCAAAGCTGCAAGGCGGCCCACGAGCTCGCTTCGGCCACCCGATGCCTGCTCCCGCAGTATGGCATAGCAGTCCGCTGAATCTGTTTTGGAGTCGCTGGTTATGCCTGCAGACCCCGCACGCGGCAGGCATCGCGGAGTTCGGCCAAAGGTAAGGCCTCAGAACACAGCAAGCAAAGTGCACGGTTTCTGATCATTTGCTTGTCAGCTGGCTTGCGAGATCCAGCATGTATGACTTGAAAAGTCGTAAGTCTGCTGCTCCCAAATTCTTCGCAAGGGATGACACGACTTCCCGCACAGCATCCGCCGCTTGGGCCGCTTGCACCACGGATGAGGAAGCACGACTGTCCTGGCACGGCCCAAGGTCCCAAACACGAGTGCTGTTGTCATCACCCGTGCACCCGCCGGCCCGCCTCTTGCTCCCGTGCATCAAGTTCCGCTTGCAGTGCCTCCTGACCTCCCCGCAGCGGCGACCTGCTGGGAACTTTGCAGAGCGGGCCTTGGGCAAAGGCACATAGCGGCCGTAGTGAACAGATCGAGACTCACCTTGTCGGTGGAAACCAAAGCCCACTTTCTTCAGGAGAAGGCACCTCCACGTCCTGCCAGTGCCCAGAACCGCGCGGAGTGCATAATCCTACGGCGTATGAATCAACTTGGGGCCTTGGACGTCGATTGAATCTCCACTTCCACCAAACGTTCCTGGCTGGCTACCAAAAGCGGACATGATTTGGGGCGCTGTGGTACCATCACGAAGGGTCTCTAAAGCGCTCGAAACATGTCTGTGTTGCGACCAACTTCGCTTTACATCCCTTGCTGTCGATTCCTTTCTCTCTGCAAGAGCTGCGAAGCCTGACGTGCGTCGTTGCAGTCACCAATCTGCCTCAAAAGCTCTGGAAATTTCTGAGTAACGAGCTCCTTGACTGTCAGCTTATGCAGCTCCTCAATGTACTTCCCCTTCCTGGCAAATCATCTTGACACGCTTGTGCTACCAGCCAGAGTTCCCAGCATTTGCTGCAACCAACTGCCTCTTTGCATCCCATCGGCGAGGCTTCTTTGCCTCGAGAACGTGCTGTTCAGAAGTGCACTATTGTCCACTGAAGCTGCAGCTGGCCTTGTTGGGAACAGGTGGAGGAGGCATTTTTCTTTTGGCACCTGGCATAGTTTAGCTTGAGAAATATACAACTCACCGAAACCGGCGAAACAAATAACTCTCTGTAACTGCCTTCTTTTTCCGCATGTTGGAGCTTCTCTGCTGCATCTGTTGCTGAACCTTCCGTCGCATCGGTGACGAAGTGTCCAGCATGTGGAGTATCGGTTGTGAAGGCCTTGTTCAGGCACCAAGTCGGGTAGTGATTCCTGATTGTCACCTGGGAAGAATAGCGGTGAGCAAGGCAGTGTCCAAGGCAAAACAGATCGACTTCTTGCTGTACAAATGTACACGTGCATTTTGGAGCCGCGCGTGCAATTTCATCCGCAACCTCGCAGGAAGCTCATCAAACCGAACGATCAGACGATATTTAACTGCTAATTTAACTCTTCTTGTCTTAACATGCGCACAACCTCCGAGAGCACGGATTGGGGCATGGAATGATTGGAAGTTGCAAATGATGGGTATCAACGCTGGCACCAATACGATGTTGTGATGGGTACCGAACTTATCTAAGCGCCGGCATTGTAGGGAGCGGTGTATGTATGCATGTATGATGTATGTTCGTGTGTAAGTACGTATATGTACGTATGCATGCATGCATGCATGCATGCATGCATGCATACATACTATGTACATGCATGCAAGCACTTAGTCATGTAGGCGTGTATGTATATATATGTGCCTCTACACATGTATGTATGTATGTATGTATGTATGTACGTATGTATGTGTGTATGTATGTATGTATGTATGTATGTATGTATGTATGTATGTATGTATATTGCATGCATGTATGCATGTATGCATGAATGTATGGATGTATGGATGCATGGATGTATGTATGTATGCATGCATGTGTTGTAGGTACATAGGTATGCATGCATAGTACGCATGGTATGTATGTAGGTATGTATGTAGTTATGTATGTTTGTATGTATGTATGTATGTATGTGTGTCTATTTTTCTATATAAATATATATGTATGTATGTGTGTGCGTGTGCGTATATGTATGTGTGTGTGTGTGTATGTATGTATATATGTATGTATGTATGTATGTATGTATGTATGTATGTATGTATGCATGTATATGTATGTATGTATGCATGTATATGTATGTATGTATATGTATGTGCATGGATGCACGCATGCAGGTATGTATGCATGGTATGTACGTATGGTGTATGTATGTATGTATGTATGTATGTATGTATATATGATAATGTATATGAATATGTGTATGTGTAGGTGTATGTGTAGGTGTATGTGTGTGTGTATGTATATGTGTTCTGTGTATGTGTATGCGTATGCATATGCGTATGCGCATGCGTATGCATATGTGTATGTGTATTGCGTGAGTATACATATAACCAAAACACCATATGCGTACATGGTAGAGTTCCATACCATGGCCATCAATTATACGCCCAAAAGACAATCACGAACCATCTTGCAAGCCAGAACTTCATCCAAAGACCAGGGTTCATCTTATGAAAAGCTTCCCAGCCTTTTCTGAGATGTCGGGTTTGGCAGCTTCCTGCTCGTCTTGTGACCTGGCAGACCGAGAAGGCCCAAACAAATGTTTGATGAGAAGAAAATTTAGGGACCTGCTCCTCTCAATGCATCAAGTGAAACTACGAAGACACTCTGCCGACAACTCGATAGCGCGGTTTAGGCTCCACGACAAGACTGGAACCCTACACCCACGTCTGTTCAGCAACCTTCCCCGCAAAGGCAAGTACCTATCGCATTCACTTCAGTCGCTTTGCATACAACTCGTGACTACAGCCCTTCGCAGCCGCATTTGTACATGAACCTTCAAACCTAAGGCGATTGCGCCCTCAACAAGCTTCAGCAAGAAGGCAGATTGGCTCGAACTTCTGCCCATCGATGCCTTACACGGAACCCACATTGTCGAATGCTTCTTGCACTTTGAAAGCGTGCAATCACGACGAAGGCCTTGTGACTCAAGCACCATTTCGGCTTGAAGTACACCCTGGTTGCCTGCAAACTGTAGAGCCACACATGGTTCTGCCTGCAGCCATGAGGCCTGCAGTGTCCATCGCTGGCTCAGGCAGGCTGTCTGGCAAGGCCAAATCACCTCACAAAGCCGGGGGCGATCCTACAAGCTGTTGAAACATCGAGTCTTGGAGCCACGCCCGGGCCAGGACAGGTTTCATTCTGAGTCTGTGTGCAAGGAGGAGTTGCGGCCTCTATGCCAAGAATTAACGAGGCCCCGAACACATGACCGCATCGTCCCTGCTCCAAGAAAAATTCTTAGGTTGTGACAGCTTCGATCTCGAATGTGAGGCGATTGAGCAATGCCTGGCCGGATGTGCAAAGGTTTGCTCACATCTGTCACCGCTTCATGGCATAAACTCGGAGCAAACAAACGCAGCAAGCTCTTTGACGGCAGTTGCCTCCTTGCTTCCGTTGCTCGGCAACCCAAGATCCTCACATGCCTGGCATAAAGCCGAATCAACAAACAGGTTATCTCAAGCTGGAGAAGCCTTGCGGAGATCGTGCAGGGCCATGCTGGACAGGCCTGTTCCAAAACGAAGTTTCACTTGCAACCACTGCCTGGACCGTGCCTGGCTGAAAAGCAAACGCATGGGCACCAGTAGCCTCGCTGCATCGAGCGAAAGTACAGAACTTGAACTCACTTTCGGCAACCTGAGAAGCCAAGATGGAAACCCACGGAGCAAAGCTGCCAGTATCCTTGAATTGGCCTGTCAACTCGAGCAGAACAAAATGTAGGGTTGCGCCTCTCACTGCATCGCACCTGCATAAGCTTCTACCCGCTCGGGCGGAGAAGCAGCAAGCCTTGACGGATGCAGGCACTGACGAATCATGTTGCATGCCTTGTCCATCCCAAGTGCAATTGCAGCAAAGGCTCCCGGGGCTCCCTTCACACACCTCCGTCCTCTCGCTTGCCTGAAAGGAGAACTGACTGATCAGGCACTCGTGGCTTGGAGAGACAGGACAGACTCCCAAGCTCCTTGTTGACACTTTGTCCATTTCCTTGCGGGCTTCCCAAGTCCTCGTATATAAATAGCATTCCACGGCCCTGATGTCACTCCAAACAGCCTCTTCTTGACCCACCGCTGTCTCCAACACCTGTTGCTCCACAGGGCCATTCCTCACATGTGTCCAAGCATCATCTCGCAAGACTTGGACCGCCAGGCAAATGCGACCAAAGAGTCGATGCTTCCAGGACATGCTGCGAAACACAGCTCTCTGCGGAGAGAGATAGTT